TTTGATTTGAAAAAAAATTTCACAAAAGTCGGAGGGCGATTAACTTAATTATATGTCATTTATATATCATTATTTCATACACAATTCATAATTGGTGATTGGTGAAAAGGATTTTTTGGCTAAAATCCGAAAAGAAACAAGGATTTTGATTTGCAAATATTTTTAAAATTTTATAAGGAAACTCTGCGAGAGAAGAGAACGATATATTCGTTTATGCTATCTATTCAAATTCGTTTTGCAATCTTACTCGTCATTTTTGACGGGCTGTAATGGCTAACAGGATGAGGAACGTTCGCAAGAAAGTACAGAAGTACAAATTGATGTGCAGCACCAACCGGTAGAGTGCATAGAATTTTAGAGGATTGTTGAGAATTTGGACAATTTTTTCTCTTTCAACGAATACTTTTATGCATCTTGGCTAATGTTTTAAAAAATCTTTTGTTTTCTTATGCTGCAAAAAAAACAAACATTGTTCGATCGAGTACTGCGAAAAAAGAACTTCTTTACATCGTGATTATCATATATCACTGATAATTTTCTTTACTTTTTAAACATTTCTTCTTCCAATTGTAAATCCCTTAAAGAAAATTGAAACAGGAAAACGAGTAAGAAAGTATTCATAAGATAATTTATGAAGAAGCTCTATTTGAAGTCGCAGTGCAGAATAATATAATGAAATGAAGCAAGCTGAAAAGAAGCTGAAAATCAAAAGAAAAATCAAAAATTTTCTCGAAGATCGCAGCAGCAGAAGCTTTAATGGATTTCGAACGAATGACTGCCTGAATACACAAATTTAAAACTATTTCCCGAAAATAATGCGATTCATTTAGAAAAATTGGACCAATAATCAGAAAGGATGCTCAAAGAATAAATGATAAGAAATGAAAATCTATTTTGAAGATCTCCGCTTCTCCTAAAAATATTATCATTTTATTGGCTGTCTTGGGGAGAGTTCATCAAAAAGTGGTTCGAGATCGAGATAGTGCGTATGGAATCACAACTTTTAATTGCACCTCTAAATGAGAGAAGAAAAATTTTAAACCTCCGCCACATTGTACGAATGTTTGCGTGAAAAGAAACAATCGGCTCTTTAGCGATTTGGTTGCGATGTGGTTGCATGGCTGAGTCAATACGACGAATATGGCTTTTTTTAGATTTTCGGAAAACAGTGGCACATCAGCTGCTATTTTCTTGTTAACCACTCAATAAAACGAAGCAGTTGAAAAGTTCCAGCGTAGTCCATTCCTAGTTGAATCGTGTTAAACAGCTGACTTTTCGTATTCTTTCATAATCGTGGGCCCATTTTTTCTCACGACAAGTTACAACTAACTTCGTACCCAATTATTTTTTTACCTCTTTACAAATTTTACAAATTTTCTCTATTTTTCAGGTGTAAGATTCAGTTCAGTTAAATCATTTGTTTCTTAATCTTTTCATTCATTTCTTTCATTTCTTTCTTGTTTATTAGATTTTATAATGTAATCTCAAGAAAAAGGTAACAAAAAATGCAGAAAGCGCAATAATTCTGGAAAAGTTAATAAATAAAAACGTTAATTGGAGGCAGTGTAGCCGAGTGGATAGTGGCAAATCCGAGCTAAATTAATAATGAGCATAGCTCGCCTCACCAGAAATTCGCTGAAACAGACCGCTCTTGAAAACTTTTCATTCAATTTATGTTCGTTAATTAAGAATTAATTTAATTTTTACCTGCATAGGCAACCAAAAGCATTCATAGCGTCGAATAGCATTTAAGACGACATTTGTTTTGTATAAAATTGATGCTTTTCTATCAATCATCCGTAGAAAATTTGCTTCTCGTTGACTTGCTGTTAATAAATCAATGGTGATACATTTACGCATTTGTTCCTTATTGGACTTTAAAGTCGGTACAATTTGGTTGTAATCTGGCGGTTGTGTAATGAATTTCGGTATCGTGTTCTTTGCGCTATTAGCGATATGAACATTCCTTTCATGGTGAATTTCCACTGACGTAGTTGGCGTTAAATTTGAAGCAGTTGAGGAACGAAGAATTTCATCGGTTGGTGTTCTGGATGAAACGATAGACGATAGTGATAAATGATTAGCCATAATTTCTTGGTTATAAGTGATAAAGACACCTCCCTTTTTATTTTATTTGGATAATAAAAACGGTTAATGATTTGGATGGATCCAGAGGAAGAATGTCTTTGCAGGGGCTATTTAGCCAGCCGTTCTCGATCAATAGACTTTTCGACTTTCTTCTAGCAGTCGTCAACCTCAATTACACTCTTTTTCACTCGCCTAAATGCCACGCCTTTTTTAACAATATATTCTCGAATTTATTGTCGAGAATCCTCGAATGAATCCTAGAAAATCATTTTCACGCAAACAGTGAAGCCTGACCACTGGTACACACTTTAATTCACGTTGTCATATGCGAAATTGCAGTTAAAGTTGAGTCCTTCGACTTCGACTTTTCTAATAGACGAGTGCTTCACAATGGACTTTCATGCCTTCAAGATTCTTCCAGGATGTCCTGGTTGGGGCTATTTTCATTGCACTGTGGTGTCATAATAAACTAATAACAATAGTAATGCAGTAATAACAATATATTTATATATGCAGTAAATTTTTTAGTCTTTATTTTTAGTACGTCAAGAAGTGTAAACCAGAAAAACAAAAGATCTTACGAGATCCTTAATAATTTACTTATTTAATTTGCTTTTTAAGGGTTCAAAAGGGCTCCTAAAACAGAAATTTGAGAAGTGCTGCTAGAATTAATACATTAATTGATAAGAGAAATTAAAAAACTCAGATCAAATCAGTGAAAATGGACATTTGCGAATGAATATAAATAATTTAATGAATAATTCTAAAATGTAAGAGAGAGAACAGATTGTCTAGATTATCATTTCAAGTAGCATGTAGTGGTTCAAACTGCACTGTGCAGGAGTAAACCTTCCATTAAAAATCTCTGATGGTGCTGATGCCTACTCATTTACATTTCAAGCGACTACTTGACGAACTGAATTACCCTGCCTATTAGTAACTATTAACGCGCGCTCAAAAATGATGATAACCATTTAAATACGTTTTTCACTTATTTTTAATATCAATTACTTTATTATTTTAAAAAAAGAAATTATATTGAATATTATCTATATGCATTTTGCCGAATTTAAGCCGAAACTATGCTTATCATTTAGCGATAAGACGCATTAACAATAAGGAGGAAGGAACTGATCTTTATAGAAAGAAGGAAAAAAGAAAATAAGGAAACGATAAATCATTGCTGCTGCTGAAAAATAACGAAGGGTGGCTGTAAGAATTCATTATCGTTTGATGAATATAGATGGAAAGAAAAGGGGCTTTCCATTTATTTATTTTCGCTTTTATAAGAAGCAGAATTAACCGTAGATAAATTTTAGCAAATAGCTCAGAGCAATGAAAAATAATCGTTTAGTGATACGGGGTTCTTGCTAATTTTGTGATAAAGTTACAATAATGTAATTAGATGGCGATTCAGCCCAAGTTCTCCTCAGTTTCAATTATCATGGCCCAAGCTCTGCTCCTGGCTATCATTAAATAAATCTATCATTAAAAAATCTGGATATTGCTGGAGACCCATCTTTATTGCCATATTATTTTTTCTTCTAACTTCATTCATGATTTCCTTAATTGGCTCTGTATGCTTCAGGTGCTAGATCCACTTACTATAGAGTCACCTGGGAACAAAAATGTGTTACCATTTGGCACGACTCACCTTCAAAGAAACTACTTTCATTTAGGAATCGAAGCATGACTGCAGTCTTGCGTACGCTTCTTTATATTTAAATTGAGCATTTCATGAACATATTCATGATTTCTCAATTCCGACGAAAATAGCCAAAATGATTAAGGTGATAGTATTGTTATATCATTATCAAAACGTTCTTTAAATTGAGCCAGAATCTGATTTCATTCATTGCTAGTCAATTTCCATTTGATCCTTTTTCATGAACAATTAAACTTAAAAAAGGCCACATTCCCAACATTTTTTTCCTTTCTTTTATTCATTTTTTTCACTCTGTAAATTTTAAATTTGAATTCAAAACTATAATTTTTTATTGGAAACGTGTCGGACTTTAAAGTTGATCGACATAAATGAAAATTGCAAATGACTGCTTGAAGGTTGTTTGAAGATTGGTCCTTTTCTTTATTCGTGTAATCTTATAACATTTCCAACCAGCCGAATGGTTTCGTTTTGCTTAGCTGAATTTCAAGATAATTCTAAATATTAAAAATTTATGAAAATAAAATTTAATTCATTTCTCTTCTCGAATTTCATTCACAAATGCATTTATGCAAAAAATCCTATCAAAAATACATTATTTTGAAGTAGATCGTTCACAGTATTTGTTATCAATAAATATTTATTTCTAATCGTTGAGGACACAGGTGCAATAATAAGAAATAAAGCTCCGCATGGTGACGGGAACATAATAATAAAATAAAATTTAAGGAACAGCCGAAATTTTTTCCACTCCTTTATTTCTTCTATTAATTCGCATGAATGTTTGGTTACTTTCCAGTATTACTTACTTTCCGGTTACTTTCCGATTAGGATACGCCTGCTTTCATGGACAGCCATGAGTCTATTCAGCACAAGTGAGGCAAAAATCTTTCTAGAAACATCTAGTAAAGAACTCTTTCCATCTGGAGAAACTCTTACTGTTTTTGATGGTCTAAACGGAGTTTCCATCTTTATCTCATCTCTATTTCACTCACCATTTCTTAAGTTCTGGTTGCCTTGCAAAATAGGCGGAATAATTTTCGATGACCGTCTACTCGAACTACATCTTTATCCATACACCATATCATTACAACATCGATTTTTGTCTTGCTTCGCTGCGACCGTTGCACAAGTCTACAGAGCTGACTAGTATTTCCTGAAACATACTCTGGTGGTGCGGCCGGAAAGTTGAGCCGTTTCGCTCGAGATCCAACTTCCTTTCTTCGAGTCATATAGTTTGCTGTTGGAGGTAAGGCTTCAACTGGAACTAGTATTCCTCAGCAGTTCTATAGGTATTAATATTAAGTCCCTTAAGTGCTTCAGCACCTCTGTCTGATATGTGCTGTTTGCCATTAGATCTTTTAACTTGAGGGAGTCAAAATATTTCAGGGAACCCTGCGCAATCAGTTTCGTTCTGTTTGGGTCTTAATCATAATATTCGGCCAGTGGAGGTTGTCGGTTTTAGTTTTGCAGTGTACGTGATATTCTATAGAACACTTTTACTGGTGATTAAATAAATATTAAAAAATATTGAATTCTGTTTATCCGAATCCAATCTGTTTATCCAATATAGACATTCTGTTTATCCGAATGTTGGTTGGCTGGCGAGTTCCATGTAATATCATAGAAATCCTCTGCAATGAAAGTATATATTGGTGATAAAAATCCTGTGCGGAGGTGTTTTCTTCGTTCGCATATCAGGTAGCAGCACCATAATTGCCAGCCATAAAATATAATAGGGCAGCTATAGCTTCATGTCTTACGCACGCCAATTTTCTATGACCCTGTTCCTTCACAGAATTTTAAAAAATTCGCCCCAAAATCCAAGGAGGCGCAATCGCTTTCCTCGTCTATTTACAAGCACCTTCATTTAAAAAATTCTTGCTAAATTTGTTAAAAAGTTTAAAATAAGTTTTAGATTGGATTTAGTGCCTTTGCATCGCTTTATTATCTCACAACAGATCATGCGTGCTTCTCGAGGATCATCCGAGATTTTCAGACTAAATTTTCTGACGGATTCAAATTTCAAGAAAAATTTATTTGGTAAGTTTCAGATAAGCGATCTTCAGTTACTGCCAAGCGAAAAAACTGCAGCTTCGAAAGCGTTTTGTCGTTCTCAGTTTCTCCATTTTTGTTTCAAATTTTCACAATGTTTCCACGAAAAATCAGTTTAATTCAGTTTAATTGAATTTGAATTTAAAAATTTCAGTTTTTGAGAAATAAAAATGGGTTTTATTAAATTCTTTTTCACATTTTCGAATCAAACGATTTAGATTTTTTTAAAAAAGCTTTTAAAATTCAAATTTTTTTGTAAATAAAAAAATTAAGATTACTTCAACTTTAAACGAAAGCGATAAGCCAACTGTTGCCGGCAAACTAAGAATAAATTTTCTTTAAATATTCTTATCAAATATTTCTCCAAAACAAAAACTAATTTTTAATTATACGATTACATTTTTTGTTCGAAGGATAAAAAATTCAGCATAAATCGGAAAACTTTCTAGAAGGTAATTTCAAGACAACTTCGGGCACGATGGTCGATTCGGTCCTTACTCGTTGAGGGAACCTACACCACTAAAAGCGAAATTGCGCTGTTAACTGTTGAGGACCAATCTGTATTCAAAATATTTGGCAAAAGCATATGGTGAGTGCTGAAATAATGGAAGACAATGAAAATTCAGGCTATTGTGACCGCGTTACCACTGCCTTATTACACTTTCATCATTGCACCTGTTGTAGCTGCTGTAGTACCAGTGTAACTCATCGCTTACTTGGACCGCCGCGTCAGCTGTCGTTTGTGCCTTCTTTCGTCGGGGCTCTCCTCTACTTACATTCTATTTTGTCACCAGCTCCAGGAAATAAGATAAATCTTAGACAAAGCAGAAAAAATGAGGTGAAACAACACGACAAAATTAGAGATTCATAAAAACTTTGGAAAACGAAAACGGAAGACGAAAACACTTGGCGATACATTATAGTTTATGAGGCGACGGTGGAAAGGACAGCAAAAGACGCATATTGCAGTTAGAAACGGTGCGCAATGACAGAGCGAAATAAAAATGGTGTGTGGTAGAGAAACGGGTGGGGCAATAGTATGGTGATCTATGAGAGTGGAAAAGAGTTAGAGGAAATTGGCTGATAAACTTTGCTTATGTGCTTTTATTGATTCGTTAGGCACGTTTCGGGTTCGGGTTTTTGCATCGTTTAAGCCAAAATTCTTTGCAAGGTCGTCGTATTTTTTTGTCACCGAAAAGCAATCGAGTGATCGAAGTTGCTCACTGTTGGCTCTTGGTCGCCAGCAACTGTCATACTCCTTGTATTGTTCGTTCGAGGTAAAAAGCGAAAAAAAGAATTCCGATTTCACACTATCATTTTAGGAAACAAAAGAAAGGTAGTAATTTAGACTTCTGGATCGAGAAATTCCAATCCATCAAATAACTTGGTTGGAAATCAATTTTTTTACCAATTTAGTTCATTGAATTAAAAAAATTATTCCTTTGAAATTAGCGAGCTTTTTCGCGCGTGCTTAAAGAGATTCTTTTTTTCCTTCTTCCTCGGTGACTTCTTTTGGTGATAGTTCGGTGTGGTTTAATTTTGTTGGTGTGTCTTCCGAAAATGGCTGATTCGACACTTGCGAAGGTACTCTTTTTTATATTCATTCTTTTTTATATTTTTAATATTTGTTTTTTTATTCTGATAATTTAAAAATTAAAGATATTCCCTTTCGAACTAAAGCATAATTTATCATTTCATAGATTTAATTCATTTTTAGACCATGAAATTATTAATTCAAATAATATTTTAAAGTGTACAAAGTAATTTCATTTACATTTTAAAAATATAAAATATAAAATATAAAAATATAAGGTTTGATTTTAAATGCTATTTTATTATTCTATTGATACATTTTCAAAACTATTCGTTTAGCATCATTTTATTTAATCGTTTTTCATAGACACTAAGGTCGAATTGCTGTTTTAGGTCAGAAAGATAATTTTTTAAAGAATTGTTATTTTATTATCATTGTTATTTTACATCTAATTTTTAATATTTTAATCTATAATTTTTTCAAAATTAGCTTAGTGGGTCGCTCGTTTGTCGTATTAGACAAATAAGTCAGAGAGTTTCTTGGCGATAAAAAGTACAAGTGAGTCGCTAGTATCACCCGGTATAATATAATAGAAAAAAATTTTTTTCTCTCCTCCCGTGGGTGGTCACGACCATCCTCAACCTCAGGTCCTATTCCAAGGGTCTGGAAGATCGAGGATTCTGCGCAGTATCTTAATTGTTCCAGCTGCTCTGGCGAGGGATCTCTGATGTATGTTGTTCCTGGAATTTGTTGAAGCCACTTTCCTAGTTTAGGGATCACAGCTCCAATTGTCACTGGAATTTGGCCAGCCATCATTTTGGCCAGTACTTGTTTGCCTCTCTAGATGGAGGAGTCACAGAGGACTTCCTCCTTATTTTTCTCTGCGATTTTCTAACGAATTTCTCATTTAATCTTGGAAGGGTCTAAGCGTCTAAGCCATCTACTGAGCAGATGTTGCGTAGATGACTTGGTGCCTTTCAATATATTGTTCTTGCTTGCATTGTCGCTATGTGTTGGATAGTTTCTGTGGCATGTTTACACAATCACCTAGAATCTTATCTAGTGTGTTACATCTCTGTGGATCTGGTACTTAGTGCCTATTCTTATGCTGCTATGGTCAATGCCTCAGTGTTGCTTTTAATCTGGCTTTCTCCAACTACTAGTAGGATTTCACAGTGTTGTTAGATGTATCAGTTATCTGTCGATGGTGCAGTCCACGAAGGACCCTTGCTTGGCATAGTACTTCCTCTATTTGATCGTTTTCCAATCTCTATACATGCTAAGATATTCTCTCAACAGCTTATCATTTAGTACCATCTTGCTGATATATTTCTGAACGCTTCGAATTTCGTTCAAGGTAATGACTTTCAGAAGTCCCATCTGCCTTCTTTCGGCTATTTTTTAGGTATTGGATTTAGGATGGAAATTTCCATTTGTGATTGGAAAGTGCATTGTAGAAGTTTCCTGGTTTTTACATCAGTAGCCTCCAGCTCTTACTTTGCCAGCTGGTTATATAACTCGGCAGGAGATACATATCTACATATCTACATATTTTTGGCATGAATTTTGAATTCTTCCCATTGAGCAGTATAAATATAAGTATAAGTGTAAATATAAATATTAATAATAATATAATATAATATATAATGTAATTTAATGTATAATTATTATATTTATATTATAATATAATAATAATATAATATATAATATAATATAATATAATATAAATATAAAGTATATATAATATAATATAAATATAATAATTAGTATATAATAATATGAAACATATTTGAATGATAATTGGAGCAATTTGAAATTTTACTTGTAATCCTAGAAAATTTGCTTCAACCTTCAACATTTTCTAGGAATAACCTAAGAGACCCTTATCGAGAAGAGCGCGCTATTAGGAATAGCTAAGGTGCTAAGCAAAACTCTCAGTCTACCAAGCCTCTAGTGGAGGGCCCGAAGTTAAAAATGATCATGGCTTCCTTGAGGGGAAAGTGAAAGAAAAATTCTTTTGTTATACAAATGTAATGGTAGTAAATATAATATTAATTTTAATACAATATAAATGAACGCAAAATAAATATAATAATGTACTTGCAAATGACTAATAAGCTCGTGGATTGATGAAAAAATAGGTTGATATGCCGAAAATGAATTAATATCTGTTGTTTCCTTGCTTATAATTGATAATTAATTGTCCAGAATATTGTAAAATATTTTGCAATTATTCCATAGTTGGACCTAGTCACAGCAGATAATCGTCAGTGACTAATTGATTTTTCCATTTTCTTGAAAAAATAGAGAAATTTAATAGAGTTGAAAATAGATATTTTTCAGCTGAATTCATTATCATTACGAATTGCTGAATCGGCACCGCTCAAAACACATAAATATTTTCGTGTTGCTGTTCCTCAAGCATTAACTGGTCAAACACTTGTTGCCTTTTTACAGGTTTTTTTTCCTTGTTTCAAAAATTTTTCTTATTTTCCTTATTTTTTTATTTCAGATGACGCGAATAAATTTGGTAAAGAGATGACAAAGTAAGAGTTATTTAATTTATTTTAGGTTGGAGTTACAAATAGGATGATATGTTGATTAATTGTAGTGAGTTTAATTTCACCTTTTGATGGCAATAAATCTTTCGTGGAATTATCTATACTTCTGGAAAGGGTTCTAAAAGGATAAGAAATAAAGTTGAAACCAGGAGTAGTGTCACTAGGTAAAAAAATTAAGAATTTTAGTTTATTTTATTTTCCCTGAATGTGCATCTGGATTTTAATATGGATTGTAAAACTTGTGAAGCCCTCACCAATATAATTTTTAAACCAGTATAATTTTTTAATTTGTTTATTTACTTTATCATTTATTTATAAATAATTTCTTTATCATTTTGTAAAATGGAAAATTTAAAAAGTGAATCTAGAATTTGAAGTCACGTATGGGCAAATTTAGACATTTAATGCACTAATCTTTTTTTCTATTTAGCTATTAGTGGGTTTGGATTAGAAGGTATTACATACAAATTAACTAAAATCGAGTTTGATTTATTTTTTCTCGCAGGAATTGATGTCATTTGACGATGCGGCTGATGCATTACATTTGGCGACACTTCTCCTTCAACATGGCTATTTGTTTCCAGTTATTGAACATTCCCTTGTTGTTAAAGATGATAATACATTATATAGGCTTCAATTACCTTATTTTTGGCCATCACATGCTACTAACACCGATAATGTAGAATATGGTATATATTTTTGTTAATTTAAGTAAAATAATTTATTAAAAATAAAATAAATAATCGTGAGCGATTCTTTTTTTTGTTTCGAATCCCTTTAAGAATCTATTGAGAGCCAAGGATTTATTTGATGGTTTGCAAGAAGCTGAGGATATTTTGCAAGGTTTGATATTGAATCCTATAAAAATCTTAAAAAACTGTCCGCAAACAGAAGGATTCAAAAAATGTAGCGTTCTTCATATCAATTCTAAAGGTTTCGATTTTCCTAATCTTATTGGCAATATAATCAGTAGAATCTCACATTTCTGTTCTTGGAATAATCTGAATGAAAATCTCGATTTCGACCTTCCCTTCACTGCAGAACCATAGTAAATCCTCAAAGGTACCAAATTTTATTTTTCATTTGTTTAAGAACTGAAGAAAAAACTGAAGATTTCCTTATCGAAATGTACAAAGCGTTCGTTCGGCCACTTCTTGACTACAATGCTACATGTTACTCCCCGAGATATTTTAAATTAAGTAAAATAAGGGTTCCAAAAATATTTTATACGGCGCCTCTCTCCTAATTTTGCAATTTTAATTTAAAAAAAAAACTTCTGCAATGTAACCTGGATTCTCTGTTAGTTCGTCGTATTAAACAAGATTTAATTTATATTTATAAGATTTTGTATGGTTATGTTGAGCCAGATTATTCAAAATATTATAATTTTAGGTTAAATTCAAATCCAACAAGAACTAGTGGGCTAAAGTTACTAAAACCTATGTATAAAACTAAGGACTCATGATTTTTTTATTCGTAATATTAATTACTGGAATAAACTACCGAACGATATAGCTTGTGCGTCATCGCTAGCTGTCTTTAAAAAAAGAATATATAATATCATTTATGATATTTAAAAAATTCCATCATGCAGGAAATCGCAATTTTTACCATCCGATTATAGTTATTTCGAATTGTACTATAAAATATTTTGCAATATTTTCTTTATTTCATTTTTAAATTGTTTATTTTATTTTATTATTATTTTATTATATTATTTTTGTTTTTGTCGTTAATTCTTATTATTTGTTATTTTAACTGTTTTTATTGATAAGCACATGGCGTTTGTGTCCTGCTTGACTGGTTTTCAATAAATAAATAAGTAGTTCTCTGTAGAAAAGAAAAGAAAAAAGAAACTTGTAAAGGAAAAGGAAATTGAATTTTAGGCGTAGAAGAATTTTTTTTTCTCTTCATGGGTTCCCTGAAATCCGTTCAAGGATTTTTATTTTATATTCCAATTGAAATAATATGATTGAAATAATATTGAATCATTTTGTGGTTAAAAAATTTCATCCTTTTTTATGCCAATAATTCAGATAATTTATATCTTTGATAGAAATGGTAAAGTGGTAGTGATTCATACTTTTTTATTAACTTATGAAATATAAGAAATAATTATATTTTTAATTTTATAGATTTTAGGAAAATCATTCTTTTTCAGCCATCTACCTAAATAAACGATTAATGCGAAACGAATTGAGGCATGGTCTTGAAGAGGATGAAGTTGAAGCATATAACAAATTATTAGAATTATTAGGTCATATGTGGGGATTTATAACGATGCAGGCCGAAATGCAGCTTAAAATACAAAAGGTTTTTCGAATTTAGAATGTAAAAATGTTTTTTTATCCAAATATATATTTAATTTAAATATATTTAAATGTCTTTAAGTTTTTTATTTTTTTTATGCTTTTTTTTTCTAAAAGGGATGTCACTTTCTGATTACCTTCGCTGATCAGATGGAACAGATAGATTTTGCCACGAAATTGGCAATATAAATACGGTTGGATCACCACCCGAATTTTTGAAAGACAAGTTTGAAATCTCACATTTTGAAATGGAAGCAGCTACTCCCGAGCCATTTACGTATATCTACCTTTCATTAATACCATTTATTCGAAAAAAAATTTATTGACAAAAATTCAAGCATTAGCTTGTTAATTTTGATAATTTGTTATCGAATTTAGTTAAAAATATTCATAATTCAAATATTTTTATAATTTAAGGAAAAAAAGAAAAGTGATAAGGTAGTTTATGATAGTGAAGAGAGAGCTTTTTGGAGAACTCGCCGGCCTGGTCAGGCCAATTGTCTTGAACAACATATTCAGGTATTCAGATTTTTTTTTCAGCTCTTTTCCATTTTCCAATAATTGTGGAGGCTATTGTAGGTTATGATGAAAAATTTGTCTTATATATACCATCATTAAAGATTACATTTTTTTCATTTCTTTTGTAATAATAATGGGATATTTACTTTTCACTATATATGTGGAAGTCTGACAGGTATTAAAGGTATTACGATTTTAGATCCTTATTTTTGATTTATGATTATAATTCGTTTGCTTTTATTTTTGGATGAAAAGTTTTATTTAATTAATTTATTTTAGAAAGGCTAAAATTTGGAGCAAAATTTATCATAGATTTAAAAAACAAAACACAAAAAATTAAGGTAAAGACTAGGAATCTTAAAAAACCTAAAAGATATCAGGATAAACCCGTATGCTAGTGACAAGCAGTTGTGACTAATAGTATAACAGTATGCAAATATAATACAACAGAAGGCGAAATAAAACATGGAATACAAGTAAAAAAATACATTATTTAGCTCTAGAGAAAATTAAAATTTCAAGTTTGATTGATGCGAATATTAAGTTTATTTTTGAAATTGGAAACGGAACAAAAACTTCATCAAGTAATTTATGATGAAAAGTTTTGCTCTTTAATAAAAGAATTTTCGTTTAGAAAGTTGAAAAGAAGCTACGAAAATGTACGGCGGCAGGTTATAAAAAAGAGTTAGAGCGGCTGAAATTTTTTCTTAAGACGAAACCATGGCTGAAAGCGCTCAAAGCCAGTGAAACGTTGGTTTCATATTTTCTTCATCTGTATTTTATACAAAGTCACTTTACGATTAGGTTTGAGGCACTTCACATTCACACTAAAAACATAACCAATCGTTAAAAAATTTTGTCTTACCCAACTATTTCAGTATAATTTACTTGATGGAATTGTTTTTTTTTTTTTAGAATGGTTTGTTGGTGTGAACAGTTTTATGATTATGATCCTTTTCTTACGACGCCACAACCAAGCAATCCTTGGATATCAGATGATATCACTTTATGGGTGCTAAATACTGATTCGTAAGCAATTTTTTATTAAAAAAAAGAATAAAATGGATTTGTTGATTTTGGCAAAAGATAGTAATATTTTTTAATATTTTTTTTTACAATATTTTCTTTTATCGATTTCCTCCTTTTTAATTTCATTAGACTTTACCTTATTGTCTACTGCCTTTTAAAATCATTTTTATTGCCAATACAATTATTAAAAACTCGAAAGAGATCTAATTATCAATATTTTATATTTGTAATTTTTACGAATAAGTATAAATTAAGTTGGACATAAACTATGTGCTGTTGGTGATAACAATTGAAACGAGAATTACGAATAATATAAGTGAGTAGAATAAAATAATAGAAAAAGGTAGATCAAGTAAGAGAAAAAAAACGGTATTAATATTGAATCGAGGCTGCAAATCTTTTTATATGGTGTGGACATCTTTGTTGAGGTTTCTTATAAAACTAGAAATGTATGGGATAAGAACGGTGGTTTGTTCCAGTAATTAATACTTCCAACGAAGGAACTTTGAGACAGGATATTGGTCCGAAATCGGCTTGCATAACTTTAATCTTTGGTAGAATTAAAGTTCAAATTGAAGTTATAATAATTATAATTAATTTCATAATAATTAATTTAGGCTAATATGGATAAATAAAATCTTATAAGCAGTAATCAGATCTCGTTTAATTTAATTCATAGTAAAAAAAAACTTATTTAACTTTAATTTTGATTTGTAAGTAGAGGAGGAAAGGCTAGAATTAAATGCTGGATGATGCAGTTGATTCTCGATTAACTTAACAGGTCTATTAATTCTTGGTGAGTAACATAATGTATTCTAAATTTGTACGGACGAATGTTTTAAATATTTATAAAAATAAAAATTACTTACCAGGTCAATACATAGTTATCAATAAAGATAACAAGAAGATCGAAACTTTTGATATATAAAATTTTACACTTATTTATCGATAATTTTTAATTTGTCTTTAGAACCTGATAACTGAATTGTTTAAACTTTTTTCCAGATCTAAATCTTTTAAAGGGTCATTTAAATCCAATCCACTGTGCAAGTTAAATAAATTTTACAATAAGTTTTTCTACATACAAGTAAATATTTGAATTCAGAATAATATTAGTGACACCTTATTCCAGTAGTTCTCACCATTACTGCTTAGGCTGGCTCAGCTGACTACAAGGGTAAGACGTTTCCAAGCGGTGCGGTCGCCATCAATGGTAATAGAAGCCATTCCTTTTTCCACTGTCTAAGTCCATATATCGCTGGTCCCTCTTTACGTTCAAAATCTTTTCTGACTGCATCAGTCCAGGTCTTGATTGGCCTTCCTCGCTTTTGACACCAGCCATCACAGGATCCGGCAAGTAGCGAAATATGTAGCGTCTGTTGTAGTCGACAATGGAGAACGTACCTTAACCAGCAAAGACGCTCTGTAATAACATTAATACAAGTGGTATGGCATTTTGAGCGAAGATTTTTACAATCATGTGCGATTTTATCCGCTTTAAATTTCCAAATTTTGGGATTAATTCCAGGATCCATCTTTGAAATTCACATAAATTTTGAGTTAGGAATTGCACTTTTGTTTTTGAGAGCTTGTGGAATTTGATTAGGCCCAATGCATAAGGACGATTTCAGTTGCATTAGAGCCACATCCAGTTATGGAGATTCGATATTTGAAAGCAAAGGAGCATTGGATTGGTTGGCTTAGCTTGTACTGGAGAAAGTATTATCATCCAAAAATTGGTGGTGAAATAGTTACCAAATGTATTAGCAATATGTCTGTCTTTACTGGTCCTCCACTTTTAAGTTGCTTGAAGCTAAGTTATTTTTTGAGCTGGAAAATATATTTCTGATATAAAGATCCTCTAAAAAATGCAGGATTGCGGGAGTTTATTTTATCCTTTTTTTGTCGGAATCATAAATTGTCATAAATTGCTTTTGTAAATTTTTATATATTGGAAAATCATTGAGAGAAAATGTCAGTTTAAATTTTTATTATAAGAAATTTTTTTTTTTCAGAGACTACTAACCTAACATCTCTCACCATTACTGATTAGGCTGGTTCCGCTGGGTACAAGGGTAATACCAAACTGTTTGGTCCGGTGCCATCGTTAACAATAATAGAAGCCATTCTTTTTCAATCGTCTAAGTCCATATATCGCTGGTCTGCCTTTACGTTCAAAATTCTTTTTTTATTGTATCAGTCCAGGTTTTTTATTGGTCATCCTCGATTTTGACGCCATCAGTAACTGGGTTTAACAAGTACGCGATTTTATGCGCTCGGCGAATCCCGTTTGAAGAATCGATGTATCTTAGACATGAGTGGTCAAAGGTAGATAGATACCTTCTTAATATTCTCCACTCTCATTGGCCATCACAGATTAAGAATTTTAGAATATTAATACTTAAAAGAAAAGAAAAAAATTAGAACTAAATATTATTAAATATTATTTAATGTAATTTTTGGTCCAAGGATTCTAAGGAAGAAAAAAGAAAATTCCCAGTTGATTCCGGCAGTGAATTGATGGCATGGCAATTATAACTATGGAACTCCCTAAAAAATAAGGTAGGTGGACCGATGCTTTTTGACCCAGAGTTTAACTTGTATAATATTGTTCACTGATGGAAAACGATTTTAGTGCTAGGATGGAATCAGTAAGGGAGTTATAAAGAGTTAACATAATATCTCTAGAATATTAAAGAGACATTCTGACATTAATATTTTGGTCTAAACCGAACAAAAAGTTCTCAAGCTATTTATTATTTTTAAACGTACTATTTGGTTATTGGCCCAGTCAAGATTAGAAAAATTAAAGTCGCCAGCAGTCAATTGAAATCACCTTGAAAGAGATTTGAATATAGTCAATTCTTAAAAATAAAATTTAATCAGATTCCTTATAAATATTGATAAGAAAAATATTTTTGGCTGAAAATTTTATTTTATTATTCATTTAATTAAAGTTTCTAACGCATCAGAAGAGTGAGTAATTATCAATTGTGAGATATTTATACCAAGAAGATAACTCATTGGCAAGGTAAATGCCACCGAGGATCAAGGTTTGGATTCGAGTCTGTGAACGCACCACTCTTCGTCGGGCTGAATTAAGGGAGAAAAGCAAAGGAATACTTAGTGGGTGTTGCTCAATCTGAAGTGGTGCTAAAATATTAAAATATTAATGAAAGTCCCTTTGAAACATTCCCAGCAGAAGTGTTCAAAAATCCAAATATTGCTGTCAACTCATCTATAATTCTATCACCCAAGGGACTCTTTGACGTATTTGTCCAGTCCCACAAGCCAGTGGGGCGAGTCTAATCAGTAATGGTGAGTATTACTAAAAAAAAGAATACTAAGGAGCTAAATATAATCAGAACTTCACTTGTAATACACTATCCTGAGTTAAAAACTGTTTATCTCTTTCCTTATAATATTAGAACTCGAGAATTTTAGCTAATTATCATTAATAGAATCGTTTAACCATGTCACAAAAAAGAGAAATTTTTGGTCAAAAATAACCTTATTTTAGGGAAAACATTTAGTACTAATGCTCTTAACGTAGTAAAAAAGTAATAGGAATGAATCACAGCTCCGATCATTTTTACTTGGTGTAAACTTCTGTGCTAAGGTAATTTGTCCAGTAATGATCGGTTTATCGGTTTATTGGATAAGATCTTCTACTGGATAGACTGGCAACTTTTCCCAACTTCTTTTGGTGCGGTATCAAGAAATCATTTAAATTAATCCGGTTAATTATTTAAAAAAAGAAAAGAAAAGGCTGCTCAACGAATATATTCTGAAAAATTATTCCAATTCCCAGTTCGAAAAGTTTTATAAACCAAATTTTTCCAAAGGTGGAGGGGTCTAAAAAAATTAAAAGATTATTAAAAAATCAATTTTTCAGTGTTGAAGTGCCAACAGAGCGACGGGTAAAACGATGGGGTCTTTCTGTTAATGAATTAGTGCGAGATCCTATTGGCCGACAAGTACTTGAAACATTCCTGGAAAGTGAATTTTCTTCGGAAAATATTCGATTCTGGATGGCTATACAAGATTTGAAATTTTCAGCTGACAAGCAGGTTGATGGGAAATCGCAACATATCTATGAAGAATTCCTCGCATCAGGGGCGCCATGTCAAGTATATAATTTTCAGCTTTTTTTTCGATGATTAATGCGGATATTTGAGTGAACGTGAATACAATTTGCTCGACGGATCCGTTAAATGCAATAATGAGCGGTCAAAGTCTAATAACTTCTTAATATCTTCCACTCTCATTGACCATGTTTCGCAGCCATATAGCAAGATCGAACGAATTGCATTATACTCGGATTTTCGTCTTTATGGTGATTTCGCGACGGTTCCATACAGATTCGATCAACCCTGGAAGAACATATTTCTAACTGTCGTTATCCGGGTTACAATTTCATCCTTTATCTAGCCATTTGGGATTAGAGTGGATCCAAGGTATTTAAAGTCCAGCATTTCCTCAACCAGCAATGGATTGGTAAAAATAGGTATTGTTATTCATTGTTTAACATTATTTGCATTTCCTTTATAACTGTCAACAAAAAGGACTACATCATCAACTGAACTGATTTGCATACCTCTTCAATGACAGGTGATGCCCATTATACAATCTATCACATACTTGAATATTCTAGAGAAAAGGGCGTAGCCGTGACGGATACCAGTTCTTATTTCGAAAGAGTCTGTCGGTTCCCCACATACACAGACCTGCGCCAGGGTATGTTGATAAAATGCCTCTATAAACCGAATGATCTTCTATGGGACACCGTCACATTCCACCAGAGTGCTGCTCTATCAATCGAATCGAAAGCAGCTGCAAAATCGATAAAGCAAGTGATGATGGGTTGATGGTATTTGAAGCGATGTTAGCACCCTTATAGCACCCTTCTTAGCCTAAATATCTGGTCAGTACAACCACGTCCCGATCTGAATCCATCTTGGTTAGGACGCATTCTATCTCGTGTTGCCATGAGTCTATTTAGCTGGAGGGAAAGGAAAATTTTTCCGGAGATATCCAGTAGGCTGTTTCTTCGGTGATTATCACGGTGATTTTCACAGTCCTGTCACCTTTCTTAGGAACTGTAAGCAAGAATTGCTTTACTCCATTCTTCTGGTGTTATTTCTTTTTGCCATACCAGAGAATACATTTTTTTTGAAGGTGAGTTATGAACAATGATGGACAACATTTAAAGAATTCGGCCTGAAGACCATCTTGTCCGTGAGTTTAATTAGCCTTAAGTCTATGGATTATAGATATTATTTCCTCTTCTTCTGTTGGCGATTCGCAATTGCAAACGTATGGCTCGATGTACGAATCAATTATATTCGGCACAACAGATAGTGTATCGTGGTTAAGTTTGGCCTCGAAAAATTTTTTCCATCTTCTGAGGCGATCTTTAACAACTTTTATAGGCACTCCATTAATATCCCATATCATTTCATTGATTCCTTCTCGGATTATAGTTGCTTTACGAAGAAAGCGAAACAGCTTCCTATTATCACCTATCCGAGTCCCCGTCTCCATTCTCAAGGCCATATCGCTTCAATAGCGATTTTCTATTCCACTGTGCTGCTGTCGTTGTAATTCTTCGAAGCACCCGATAGTCAGGATTTCCTGATATTAATTATCGTGTTGTTCTATATGAGCGATTGTATCCTAAAAATGCTCACTATTCAATCAATATATTATCAATATATTATCTTACTACTTATCTTACTACTTATTATTTACTAGTTATTATTTGCTATTAAAGAATCGGATAAATTTTCTTTTTCCTTTCTTAAAATTTTTTATCTTTACTTTCTACTTCTATATCTAATTATCTCTATTTCTATTCTTTGTCTTTGACAGGACTAAACCTGTCATAACGTCAAAAATCCGAATGACTGCTGGAGATTCACCTGTATCCTATCCCCAAGTGACATGGTGAAAAGGCCATAAACAAGCCCAATGAAACTGTTAATTTTTAAAAAAATCAGTTGAAATATGTTTTTGTTCTGACACTTAAAATTTAAAATTCTTACAATTTTCCTGCTCATTTTTTATTTTAAGAAATTTTTCTTATACGATGATATTTGTTTAGGTTAATGTCGATTCTCGAACATTAGAGAGCACGTTAAAATTACTTAATGATGATAAAACTCCTAGAAGGCATGCTTTCTCACCTGCTGAAGAACATGTATTTACGTTAATGAGCAAAGACTCATATCCTCGTTTTGTTCGTTCGCAAATTTACAAAGGTGTTCTATCAGCTGCTCAACAACAGGTAATCGATCGTTTTTCGTCATTTATTCACGCAAAATATAAAATTTGATTATTTTTAGGGCTCAAAAAGGCTCGGTTGGAGGAATTTTGTTTTTAATGTTGGGAATCAAAAAAAAACACCATTAACGACGAAGCATAAAATGAGTCGCGACGATAATTCACATAGTTCACTTCCAAAGCAACTCAGTTCAGATTCTTTACCCATTAAAACACAAGCTCAACGGTACATTTTGTCTTATATCTTATAAAAATTACGAACGATAAGTAAAAGAAGTAATTCTTTAAAGTCACTTTTCTTTGGCAAATGTTATCTTAAAATTTTGTTTATTGTGGAACGAAGTGAAAAATTAAGCAGTGTTATTCGTTGGCTAGGTAAATAATTTGTTTTTTTCTTTTTAAATTAATATACATATATTCTATTTCTTGCAATGAAATGAAAGTTTTTTTTCAGATTGGTGGAAGCTTCTTCTATTGGTGCAACAACAAATACATAACGCATATGATTACTTAATTATTGATTTTTTTCTACTCTTGTTCCTGTTGTTGCTGCCTTGATAACGGCAATAGCAATGCTGAAGATGAGGATTGAACTGTATTTGGCAACGTCGTCGGTTGTTGTTGCTGTTGTTGTTCTGGTGTCTGCGTGGGCTGCGGCGAAGAAACCGTTTTGGCTTCTAGCTTCAGACGTATTTGTGCGATTTCGATTATAGAGCTATCGAATAATCTCGCCTTATTTCCTTGTACAACTGTACTTCCATCAACATACATCGGCAATTTGCCAGTGTTTGTAATAAAAAATTCTTCCTTCTTTGTTTCGGCATTTATACAACGTTTCAGAATTGCTTGCTTACGTGAGATACGTGATGCAGGTCCTTCAAGCGACAAATTTACATCTGTCTGCAAAATTTTGGACATAATTTGCAATTTCTCTTGAAATATTTTATGTTAGGATTTGATACCTCGTGCTTCGCTGTACTCCTTCCAATTAAGATCCGATTTTTGCGAATCAAATATCGAAAAACTCGCCCAATGAGTACTCCCCATACTGACCCATCAAGTGATTTATTAGTGGTAATGCCTGTTATTGCCACAGGAAGGACCTAAAACAAGCAATAGGCAGCTAAACAGACTTATAAAAAAGATGAAAATTTGCGGAGGTAGGTTATCCAAAAAACGAAATTCAACTTTGCTTGCTGAAAATATGAAAGAAGAATAGATAAAAAAGAAATTAAAAATTTTAAGAATTGACAAATTTTTGGGATTTTGAAGATGCTTTTTAAGTAAGTAAATTCAAATTCATCACGAAAACTAATTTTCTCCCATTCCTCCCACTGTCGTTCAGCTAATGTCAATTGCTTTGCGATTCGCAATTCCTCGAAACCAATTTGGTTGTCGCTAATAAAAGTCCAGCGTCCTTGGTCTGCTTGTATTGGTTCATTGCTTAAGGGGTAGCTTTTCCTTTGATCAACCAATAATCGAAATGATTTTAATTGCCGCCAGTGTTGACGAATAACTTCAGCCGTACGTGCATGATGAAATATGGAACGATTAGATGTGAGGACCTAGAAAAAAATTTTTAATCAAAAGGACCAAAAATATTTTTGTATAAAATGTGCAAAGAAATGCATTAAAAAAAAAAAAAAAATTTGCTGAAACTGGCAATTTCACGATTGGAGAGAAGTTAAAGGGCACAGTTCTACACAGTTCTAAACAAACCTGTTGAAAAGTAGAAATATCATCTGGTGATGAAGAACTTATTGACGCAATTATCCCTTCTTCCTCCATATTGAAGATAGTTTTTGACTGGATCGCGCTAACTACATCAGCAGGAAGATCACTAATTCGTTGACGAGCCAAGCGTGATGCTGCCTAAATTTTAATATGGTAATAATTGATCAACTCGTTAATTATGAAAGCTATAAATCAATTTTCTCTTCTCTAATTTTCCCAATATTTATAACTAAATATATGAGTTACATTTTATGCATTATCACATAATAGTTAAATTGCGTCATTCCACCAAAAAATCTATAAGATTTCTCCCACTACATAAAACTTTTATATAAAATTCGAATTGAAGCCTTCATAATTACAAAAAAAGCAACAACCTCATCGTAAAGAAGTTCGTACCAACGTTCTTCGATTTCGCTCAGAGTAACAGGACGTGAAAATCGCGTGTCCTCTTTAACAGCTTCAAGATCACAAACCTGCAAATATTAAATATATATATATATATATGAAAATTTTATTCTCCACAGATATTCCTTATTCCTTATTTATGAAGATGGTTATTTTTTTTTTTTTTTAAAGTGCTTATTGGTTAGATTCGCTGGTTTATCGAACTGGACAAATAGGCCAAAAGAGTCCCTATGGCGATAGAAGTACATAAGTATAAATATATAAATATAGAAGTACAGGAAGTACAGCGATATAGATTAAATCATCCGGGATTAATACAACAAAATTAAAAGCTTTTCTATGAAAATATCTATTCAATATAACAAACATGATCAACTGCCGTTATCAAAGCTAAATCATCAGCAGCAGTCCATTTTTTCATAACTTCAGAAAGATTCTGATTAGTTGCACTTGTATTTGATGTGGCCGCAGCCAGTTCCTTTGCTTTAGCTTCCTTACTGGCAATTTTTTCACGTCGCTTCTCAAAGAAAAAATATTTTATTATTCAAGAATAGTAATTTAATAGAATAGTAATAACATGCAATTTTTTCACGTCGCTTCTCAAAGAAAAAATATTTTATTATTCAAGAATAGATAAAACATTCAAAATCGTTGAAAAAGTTGATAAAACTAAATAAATTAATTAAATAAATTAAATAAATTTATACTGAATAAATTCGAAATTTTTAAACCTTATCGACTGCAGGCAACGCCACTGATTGAAGTACAACAGAAATCTTTTTCGCTACTTTATCGTCAACAGCTGACTGCGTTAAATTCTGATCATTTGATCGCCATAATCTTTTGCCCAATTTAGTTTTTATAGATTGCCCTGAGAAAGAATCTGCTCTATCCTAAAATTTTCACCAGTTAACACCAAAAGAAGCAATAATTCCCATTTGCAATCAATAACCAATTACAGAATTTAATGTTAGTTTAGAAAAGAACGAACCAAACTGGGTTCTGATGTAACTGGCAAATGAAAAAATTTCTCAGTATTTGCGCGTTTTCTTGGTGATGACTTGATTGTTGCTGAACTATCCACAATTTCATCATCGAATTTTGGTTTTTTTATTTCTCTAAGAGATCGTCGAACTTTTCGATGTTCGCCATCTTCAGTTGATTCTCTGAATAATATTGGAAAAGAAACAAAATAAAGCAAAAATTATGCGTCCTAACTCTCGCATAACAAATATCGAAAAAACCCTGTCTTACATTATATATGTATCGCTTCTCTTTTTCCCATTCTCACCTTATCCCTTTGTCTTTTTCCCGTTCTTTTTGGGTCGAGTTTCTCTTATACCGCTACCTCCGATTTGCTCCATAATCTCATTTCATCGATCTGCTTTCTCAGCAGTAAATTATTTTGGCATATTTATAAGTAATGAGTTTTATAAAAAAAATGACAATAGTATTCTTGCAGAATTTTTGTTCAAAAATGGCTGCCCAGGAAAATTTTTTTCGAAGAGGTAAAATGAATGACTACTCTAAAAATGTGGGGAAATCTTTATTTTTAATGAAACAAAAATAACTGAACCTTAGGGAACTCGTCGTAGTCGCTACGGAAATTTCTGTTGCCACCTGAATATCATCAGTAGTACCGTCCATTTTTGCCGCCAAAGGATTTCTAAAGATTTCTGGACTTTTCAAAGAATATTTGGAAAAAAATTTAATTAAATGTGTTTAAAAAAAGAAAAAATATGTAGCAAGATGAGTAGAAAAATGTATATGAAACAAAACAAGAAATAAATGAAGGTTGGTGCATTTGGGGAAACTTTATTCTAGGTTTACCTTAACACAGTCACTAGGGAGAAACCCTTCTGCCAGAGCGTTTTTACGCAGAGTGCAGACGGTCCCTCGGAAAATTTGCTATCAACGACGGACTTATCCTAGCCAAATTAGTACAATTATTTTTTGGAAAATCATGACAGATTCCATTGGAACCAACAAAACATTAAAAGGACAAAAGAAAAAACAAAAAAAGTAAACGATTTTCGACCAAGGCTACAATATCATAAATTCTTATTAAAATATTTAGCTGTTAAGTTTCAAATTAACCAATAATCCGCTTCAAGATTAGTTTTGCTCTTATTGTGAGTTCATAAAGAGCTGCAGCTGTAATCCAAATAGTTTCAGCGGAGTCGGGATATGCTGTCTCTAAAATTCTTGGAGGCTTTAAAGTGTTCGAAGAAGGTTGGTACCGTTGCTTTTGGTTAATTAGTGAAGTTTGGACCCTTTAATTGCCACGGGGGTTTTCAGCCGTTCATGAATGATTCCTAAAATTTAATTATTTCTAATTAAATGTTTGTCGCAGATTTTTAGTTTTTTGCCGCTTTTTTTATAAATTTCTGCTCCACAGTTCTTGCACTTCTCCCACATTAATTATTTTTTCAGTCATTTTTTGTCTTCTTTTTTTCAATCATTTTTTAATCGCTCTTTTAAATTATTTTTCCTTATTTATTTCATTCATCATTATTTTTTATTTATTTAATTTTTATCTAATTTGTCGAGTTCACCTAATTTTTTGTGTTGTTTTTATTTACGTATTTATTTTATTTATTTTTATTCAACAAGAGCAACTAGCCGGATGGATACTAATTAGATTATCATTTCGAGCAACATGGTTTGTTTTCGGAAAAAAAGAAAGAAAAGCAGACCACCAAAGAAATTCAGATGATGATTTTGCGCGTTCTTCTCTTCCTAAGCGATTGCATGAAAAAAATTGCTTCTTGTATTAACGGCCTGTGGAACGAGCCTGATCACAAACTGCTAACCACTTAAATTCCCCCTTTCTTATTTATCATTTATCCATTTTTAAATAATCTGCAAAACTTAGAGAAACATGGCCACAGCCACAATTTATTGCTCAATGACTATAATTTCATGATAGAATTTTTTTTGAATTTATATTTACATAGTTTCGATATTTTTTTAAATTTTTTCTTAATGAAGCACCTTTTTTACTTTTTCTATCGATGATTCTGTTGTTGATATTTGTTTTTTGATTTCATTTATATTATTTCATCCTGTATTATTTTATAGTCGCCACCATCATTCGGATTTTTAAAGGACAGTTTTATTCCTACTGGGTATAGAACCCTAATATTGTCACTCCAGATTATTCAACCATTCATTGAGCCATTGTATTTCTTTTCCGACGAAGAGTAAGTAAGAGTAAGAATAAGAGTAAGAGCAGGATTCAAACACAAATCATTCTCGATTCTCAGTGGCAGTCATCTTGCCACTTGCATATAAAATTGATTGCAGTGCTTACTTCGTGGTTATTTTGAACGTTGGTCTAATTCAATGTCTCTTGACAAGAGCAAACCTGTAATAAGTGGAATTCGAGCGATGCTGGGAAGCCACCTGTAGCTATAATTCTTAAGGGTTTCATGAAGGAAAGGCCCATTTAAAAGGCTGCATTTAATTTTTAAATATCACATAAATATCATAAATATCACATAGTAAAGCGTATTTTAACTTTTAATTTTTTTTAATAACTATATTTTATTTTATTTATTCTTTTATGTACAAGTACTTTATTAATTTTAACTAGTTTTTTTGAAGGTATGCGGTAGTATTTACGTATATGCTCGTCGAAATGCAACGGCAAGTGCAGAAGTATCGAAAATTTTGGAAGATCGAATTCTTGGACAACGTGTGAATACCAATCTTGAAGAAACTGGTCGAGTTTTGTCGATTGGTGATGGCATTGCACGTGTTTATGGCTTAAATAATATTCAAGCTGAAGAAATGGTAGAATTTGATTCAGGAATGAAAGTTAGTCTATTCGAATTGTTTTTAGCAGAGATTTAAAAGATTTCCTGTGAAAGATTTTTGGTGATTTTCTACAATTTAGTTGAGATTTGAGAAAAAATCAACTTGGATTTTGTCAAAGCATCATTTTCTTTTAATCTCTCTTGCGGCGAAATTTCGCTGAATTTTCTCGTCTTTATCCAGACTTTAACGATATGAGAGTATATAATTATTGATTCATAGAAAATGAATTCTTTAATTTTTTTAGAATTTATTTCAGTTGAAATTTTAAATTTTAAGTTCCGGTAGACCAATAGCGGCAGACCAGATTTTCGCTGTAAATTCTAAAAGGCCATGCCTTTATTAGCCCACTACCAGTTCTGGCTTGACTGGTTATTAAATTATTCCACTGCATACACGTTTATTAACATTAAAAAGCTTGGGCCGTCGAGAAATTTGAAGTTTTCGAGAAAAATTTGGAAGGGGACTATTGGCGAAAGCAATTTTTATTTTATTTAATTTATCTGCCACTTTTGCATTTATCAAATTTCTGTGGTATTGAGCCTTTAGAATATTTATTTAAAGTATATATATATATATTTGACAGGGAATGGCTTTAAATTTGGAGCCTGACAATGTTGGTGTTGTCGTATTTGGTAATGATAAAGTCATTCGGGAAGGTGATATTGTTAAACGAACAGGAGCTATCGTTGATGTGCCTGTTGGATTGGGACTACTGGGTCGCGTTGTGGACGCGTTAGGTAATCCTATTGATGGTAAAGGTCCAATTAAAAGTAATGAAAGATCTCGAGTTGGTATTAAAGCACCTGGCATTATTCCTCGTATTGGTGTGCGAGAACCAATGCTTACTGGTGTAAAAGCTGTTGATTCATTGGTGCCTATTGGTCGAGGGCAACGTGAACTCATTATTGGTGACCGACAAACCGGGTAAGCATAAGAAGTTTTTGCGTTTCAGCACCAGTTCTGACTTGAATGAATATTAAAGTAAGAAATTTTTTAAGCCTATCAATTTGGTGCATGAAATTAATTGAACCAATTCTTTTTCTGTAGCCTTTAAATCTGCTGGGTCGTCAAAAATTTCTTCTGACGAGTCTTAATTGGTCCTTTTCATTTTTGATCCAATTTTTTTTCATAAACCTTGCATTTGTGCAATGGTAAGGAATCCGTTCTATCCACTTGATGGTGGGGGGGATGTATCATAGGGAAGAATGGTCAGAGGTAGATAATATTTTTCGTTTCCATTGGTTATTTTTCTGTCCATATAAAAGAATAGTGCATGCTGCATATTTCTTTCCAATTCATAATTATAACATCATAGAAGTAAATTATTCATAGAAATTATCAGCTATCATTAACTATATTGAATATTGGTTTGAATGCTGGTTATCCAGAAAATTGCGTGTAAATACTAGATTTTTTTCTAATTCCGGATTCTTGTTGTTGGCAGAAGGTCTTTTAAGAATTGAAAAACATGTTCATTGTTAGTTTACTGGGTCCTCCGCCACATTTGCTTATAAATTTTTGTCAACATCGGATCTCCTTCAAAATTCTTTATGTTATTATTATTTCTTTCGAAGTTTTTTCGGCGAAATTCATGTCGTCAAATTTAAATTCTGTTTTTATAAATCATAAAACATAAAATCTGTTTTTGTCATTATCAAACGCGTATATTAGATGATTGAGATATTGCGTAATTTGGCTTTAAAATAGCGTAGACCATACATGCTTTAAAAGGGGATTTCACAGGAGCGGCTTTGGCCGAGTCATTTCGGAAGTACTCCATTTCCTCCTGAGCTATTAGAACCATCACTGTCCTTAATTTCTAATGATTGCTTCGGATCCAAAATTAGGAATCTAGGCTTCTGACAGCCGGGAATCATCCACACTTCAATTCTGAATAGCTGTAGCACAACTTCCAACATCCTAAGTATTCTTTAGCTAGAGCCAGAACTTAACTTTATTAGAACGTCTCATATTTGTTCCGCTTCCATAATTTTTCTTTTGATTGGAAAACATAAGGCCAAATTTGCATACCGCATATGCACCGGAATATTTGGGACATCAGCTTAAAATCTAAATATGCCGTTTTAGAATACCATTATAGAATTATATAATCTCTTCGCGGTAGATCATTTGGCTAAATATGATTGAGTTTCCAAGGTACTCATAATAAAATATTATTATCTACACAATTTTATATATTTTATAGTTTTTTAAATTTTTTAAATTTTTAAATTTTAAATTAAATTTTAAATTTAAATTTTTAAATTTTTAAATTTTTAAATTTTTTAAATTTTAAATTTTAAATTTTTAATAATTTTTAAGTCTTTCTGATAAAGACAAGTTGAAAAGTATTTTTTTTATTTTTTTATTTTTGTTATTTTTTTTATGAAAATAGTTTTTAATAAGGCAATATAATTTTTCACTTTCTTATTTTAGAAATTTAGAAATTTGTTATAGGAAAACCGCTATAGCCATTGATACAATCATAAACCAGAAACGATTTAATGATGGAAGTGATGAAAAAAAGAAGCTGTATTGTATTTATGTAGCAGTTGGGCAAAAACGTTCCACCGTAGCACAAATTGTCAAGCGCTTGACTGACGCGGGTGCAATTAATTATACTATAATTGTATCGGCAACTGCTTCTGATGCTGCACCTTTGCAATACCTTGCCCCTTACTCTGGATGTGCTATGGGCGAATATTTCCGCGATCATGGCAAACATGCGCTCATTATATATGATGATTTATCGAAACAGGCAGTGGCTTATCGTCAGATGTCACTGCTTCTTCGTCGACCTCCTGGACGTGAAGCTTATCCTGGTGATGTTTTCTATCTTCATTCGCGTCTTTTGGAACGAGCTGCAAAGGTAAAATTTCCTGATATTTTTTCAAGATATAATGGAGAGTGTTTAAAAAATTTTGATTTTATTGACTGAGTGCAATAATTATTGAATTTTTTAGATGAACGATTCACATGGTGGTGGATCGTTAACAGCTTTACCTGTAATCGAAACGCAAGCAGGTGATGTTTCTGCTTATATTCCTACTAATGTAATTTCAATTACTGACGGACAAATCTTTTTGGAAACGGAATTGTTCTACAAAGGTATTCGACCAGCGATAAATGTTGGTTTATCGGTGTCTCGTGTCGGTTCTGCTGCGCAAACAAAAGCTATGAAACAGGTTGTGTTTCGAAAATCACGCTTTTTGTTGTAGTAAAATTCATTGACGAATTGAATTTTACTACATTTTCTACGATATTGAATTGTTCATTCAGGTAGCTGGTTCAATGAAACTTGAACTAGCACAATATCGTGAAGTAGCTGCTTTCGCTCAGTTTGGCTCCGATCTAGATGCTGCAACTCAGCAATTGCTCAATCGCGGTGTTCGTCTTACGGAATTGCTAAAACAAGGCCAATATGTACCAATGGCCATTGAGGAACAGGTTACTTTTTTTTTGATATGGATTTTTTTAAATTTGGAAAATTAAGATGTTTGTGGGTAACTCAAATGTCATTTCAGGTAGCAGTTATATATGCTGGTGTAAAAGGACACTTGGATAAATTGGAGCCGTCACAAATCACAAAATTTGAAAAGGAATTCTTGGCTCACATTCGAACAACTCAACAAGATTTGTTAAAAACCATCAGAGAAGAAGGGATGATTTCCAACACTACAGATAATAGGCTCAAAGATCTTGTCACCACGTTCTTGGCTGGTTTTTCTTCGTAACATACGTACTATTCGTAGGACTTGTTAATATCTTTCAGGAGTGCTTTTTATCGTTGCCCATTTAATAGAGGAAAAAAAGGCTAATCTTTCTCATTGGCTGATTTTCAATTTACTATTACATTATAAAGAATTTTTTGAATTGATTTATATTTATATACGATAATTTTTTAACTGAATGATGTAGAAATTTAAAATAAATGAAAAAAGCGCTCGTAATTAATTATACTTTTGCTGTTGATGTCTTTATTATTGAAATCTTTAACATAAAACTATAACAGCATAGCGGAAAAATAGAAAAAAAATTCTATTTTCGAAGACAAAAGCAGAGGTATCCACGATGAAAAACTTATTCAGAGGTAAAAAAAAATATGAGGTGGAAAAAATAAAGAAAAGAGAGGCAACAAAATATATGAATATAACCGGTAGATAATCAGTACAATCGTTTACAAACCGGTAAATAACAATAAAATGAAATACTGATGGAAACACAAAATAACAAAGTAAAAAAAACCTGAATAGAGAAGGATGACTCGAGTCTAAGGAATTATGGGTCAACATCTAAAAATATCTAAAATAAAAAAAGATGGAATATGAAATGAGGTTTCAGAATCTTCGCTAAAGAAGATAAAAGCTGGCTGAACTTATGTGGTACCAGAATAATCGCACTAATCATAATATTAATCGTTTGATAATTGTGTTTTACAGAAGAAAAAGCAGAAAAAACAAACTGAATGGTAGTGAGTTATTATTTTGAGTTTCATAACATTTCTTAAACCTCATTTTTCAGTAATTCCAGAAAAGCATTTGCTCATTTCGACCATTCTCATACTTCATAACCGGAGCATAACAACTAACAACTACCAAAGAGAATAAGCATTATCTGCCACTATTATAACTAAAAGTAAACTAAAAATCCTACGATAAAAACAATGAACATAATATCAAAAGAGAAGATTTTCATAAACATAAAAAAATCCCTGATTCTTGAAAATTTACAAAATCAAGTCCTAACAAAATCAGAAAATTTAGTGAAAATAAAGTTCCAGAACTTTGCCACTTTGAGGTTGGTGTGAACGAGAAAGTGGATACAACATGAACCCTTAGGTTGAGGAAGAATTATATGGGAGATTATACTCCGAAGTATCTTCCGCAGAAAAAAATGAAAAATGAATGAACTGTGGGAAAAGCTGGTGTGAAGAAATCGAATTTGTCCGAATTTTGGCAAACTTTTTAGTATAAAGAAAAACAAAGCTAATCAGAAAAAAATCTATAAGGTGGAATTAATTAAATCGGGTAAAAATCCTAAGTGACAGAGGTAGCATTAATTGATGATCGAATTATTCACAATAGAACGAATTTTTTCCACAGATTTCTTGAATTTTTGGTTTTGATTTTGGTCTAAGTTCGATTCCCTGTTTTCCCCCATAGAAAAATTTGGGTAATGTTTGTGACACATTTGTATTTGTATTTCTATCGTTTGACTCTCTGGCAAAAATTTCTAACCACACTAAAAGCCAGCAGAACTAACCTAAGCAGAAATTATAAGCAATAACTATACTTTATAAAAATTTACTAATATAATTGCCAATTTCAAGGAATCACCAGAAAAAAAAAGTTGCGCAAAGATAAAGATGATAAAGAAAATGAAAACAAGAAAAAGCTCCTTCTTTGAATTTTAATACCGGCCGAAGCCGAACTCATACATTCATCGTTTACGATAAATTTCGACTATCTTCCATTTTGAAATTGTTCGTTCGTCGAACATAATGGTAGTCAAATCTATGGCATGTTGAACATGGTGTCTGCACGAAAAATAAGTTATAATTCCCCTGCAGTCAGATTATAAATACAACTGATAAAATCTTGGAACAAAATTAAATAAACAAGTTGGATAGTGAAATAATTGATGAATTGTGACAGTTTCCTGAGAGCAGGATTGGTACGTAAACTGTTTCTAACGAAGATCAAATATGCATGGATCTACCTTTATTTCTACCTTTCGCTATAAGTTGAATCCTTGCAATATTGCTGGCCTTTCCTCCAAAAAACTTTCTGATGGATTTTTTATTTAAAAAAGATCTTAAGAACATTTTAAATAAAAAAATTTACCCTTTCATAAATATTCGTTTGACTTTCTTCCACCAGAAGGGAGCACATACAATAATTGCAAAAAGGTTGACAACATGTTGAGATCGATAGAACATCATAGGTATACAAGGTGCCAACAATTAAATTTGATCCCATAAACCAATCCTGCTTCCTACATCGGCCGCATATCCATTTTCGATATATGCAGTAAACGCAAATCGCTTGAAGATAAACATTTCTGAAAGAACAATCTAAGCAACCTTTCAAAAATAATTTGCTAAGCTTCAAGAAAATTAACTAATAAAATTTTATAAAATAAAAAAGAAGAAAAATTGTATTTAATTGCATCTATTCTTTAAAAATCACAGGACAATTAAAATTCTGACTTTAGGCAACTCGTAAACTTTTCTTCTAACATCACTCATCTTCCCTAATTTGGCCGCTTCTCCTAAAGCGAGGCGCCTTCGCTAGGCAGTAGCCAGTTAGAGGTAGAAAAATAAGGGTAGCGTCATCCGAACCACCTTATAACTAATGAATTACAACTTTTCAATAACTCAAAATAGATACTTCGATTCATATTTCATATTCAAGGCCGATTTGCAATGCGCAATTGGCGATAAAAAAAATGTTCCATCGATAAGCGGATAACGATCATAAACGATCATATTTCCTTGACATAGAACACACTGAACTGTACGATAGTTGTAAGTCCCTAAAGCTCGTAAAACTGCCAAACGAGTATCATCACCACCTTGAGGGCAATCATCCTCCATCTGAAGCATCAAACAAACATAGTTAAGGGATTACTCTTCTTTTTTCTTCTAATAACACATTTCTGATTTTCCTGGCTGTATTAGAATCCCTTCGCCATAGAGTGAAGGCCGAGGAAAGAATATATATAGGTCCTAAGAAATGACCCCTCTAAGTGCGTGGTCGCGCACGGACACAAATGCTCTCATTCACAATTTCGCGTAGTGGGCACTCAAATATCGCGCATCACAGCTCATACAATAGCATTTTTATATTAGTTGTTAGGTATAAGAAAAAGTAATTCATTTGTATTTATATTTTTCTATTTTTATACTTTTTATCACTATCAACTGTTGTTTTGCTTTACGTATTTAAATAAATAAAGGGTGATTCCATTAATTCCTCCTTAAATTAATTAACATTTTACGATAATGCTTAATGTTTTCTTTTCAAAGCAAATATAAGAAATGGTTTGCCTGGATTTTGCATTAATTTGGAATATATAAATTTGCAAACAAATTGTTTTTATTTAGACAAAGCTGTATTTCTTGCGAAAAAACGCTTCCTGAATAAATAAAATTTTCGCAAAAAACGATATTTTTTAAATTTGAGATTTAAAAATTTTTATTGTTGCAAATGACAGAGTTCAATCAAAAAAACTACTTAAAAAACAAGATTCGAGCTAACAAATTAATTTATTAACACAACAATCAAAAAGGGTCAATTAGTGCTGACAAGGCAATAAGACAATTAATTGAAGTCGGAAATTGCACTCAAATACAGTAGCTCGGGTTCGAGTCCGGCAGTCGCATTAGGCACAGCGATAACAATAGTTACCCAGGTCACAAACCAAAAAAACAAATCAAAAACAGTAAGCGACTTTTAAATATGCCGTTCGGTGGCACTGTAGGCTTGAGTGAAAAAATTTTTTCCCCGACCCGAAAAATCTCTCGTTAACCCTGTCCGATTATACTCTTATATCGCGCAAATATCAAAAATCTCTTCTCTGTGCTCAACAAGTCCGCGTCAAAAAAATTGGAAGAAACGTTGGTCCCAAGACCCAAGCATTGCTCTTTCGATAACAGGTTTCTTCCAGCTAGGTGACAGGAATTGAATCTATGATGACTTAAGTCGAGCAGCATATTACTCGCCTATTTTGGCTTTCAAACAAAAAAATATGAGTTGAATTATAATAAAGCGATTCTCTTAACTGCCTAGGGAGGAAAATAAGGAAAACCTTAATACTGAAAGCATTTTGTTTATCCCAAGGCAACGCTTCCTTCAACGAATTAAAATCTTCACGATGCTGAAATATCGAACCATTTATTCGTACCTAAAAGAATCCGATCAAGTATACCTCTTCAAACATCACATTTGCAAATAAAAGCACAAGATTTTTAAGCAAATAAAAGGTTAAATATGGCTTGCATTACTTGTTCATCCTCAAAAAAGTTGAATTTATCGAGGTTACGCTTAGTTGCACAATCAGCCAATTCAAGTTTGCCATCATCAGTCGATGCATTCCTTCGAAGACTTTTCTCGCCTCTTGAACCAATTCGTTTCCGAAAATTCACTTCCGGTAGATCGATCACCTATAAAGGCAACAACCATAATCTTCATCACTAACGAGTATTTGGTACTATAAAGTTCTCACTGAGAGACTAAGTTATAAACTATAAATTTTTATATTCTATTTTAAAAATTAATTCTAAGTCATAAAAATCTTAAATGAAAATCCCATAAAAATAACGAACATCGTTTGCGGAAAAAAAGAATTTATAAGAAAAGGAGACCAATTACCACTTATATTAACGAATTTCCAGCCAAACTCAAAATTTTGCTTCTCGTCGTAAACAGTCGTATTAATATCTTTATAATAACCAATTTTCAAGAAATCTGTTCGCTTCTCTAGTAATTTTTTTCAGATTGAAATCCCTATATCTATCCCTATATCTAGATCCCTACAAAGGAAAAAAATGGACAACGACGAGCAAATTCAATCTATTTTAATTTTCTCAATCTTATGATTAAACTGTATGACATTATATCCATTTTTAATTTTCAAAAATCCAACAGTGAAGTGGGTCTAAGAAAACAAGAATAGTACCTAAATACACTTGGTGTTAGCGACAGACCTTTCTTCTTTCTCTATGTAACTCTTAGCCAAAAATTAGCGTACCAGAGATAACGGTGCAACCGCAACCAAAAATGACAAGCGCTAATGACTATTTATATTTTTAGTTTAATTTATAATTTTAATTTAGTGAATTTATAATTTAGTTATAGTTAATTTATAATTTTGATTTAGTTTTATAATAATATATAATATAAATATATAATATATAATATAAATACTCCGCGATATACTTTTAAAATACAAAAAATATTTTTAAAAAATCCTTGAAACCGCCAATTTTGTAATGTTTGTACTAATATTAATAATAATTAATAATAACAAATAATAATAATAATTTAATATTAATAATCAATGAAAAATTCAAATACAAAATCAAAAAAAATATTTTTCTGAAACAAAGTTGTTTATGCGAAAGTTTCAAATAAGTAGATATGTTGAAATGAAATAATTTGTTCTTTGAACGTTTAAAGACAATAATAATAATTTAAAACAATTTTTTGTAATTTTTTACTCATTTTCAACTAAAATCGATGAAAAAATATTCGGACAAAAGATGGATGTAATGACAGTTGGGAGGGACAATGAAATTTCTTAATAAAAGATAGACACAATAAGATGGAATTCCCGAACAAACGATAATTGAATTAGTGGCCAAAATGTGGACAATACTGAAATCGTGAAAGAAAAGACGGACGATTTTCTGTACAAAGGAAGGAACAAAAGGCGGATAAATGCTGGCGATTTTCGGTCAAAAAGGCCAAAATGAAATTTACGCGAATTGGTAGAAACACGTCAAAGATACAATTTACGATGGATGGACTTTTCCTTTTATCAAAATAAATATATTTCTTCCAGACAAAAACAAATAATTACGTCTAAACGAATGGATCAAAAATTAAAATCACTCATTTCCATGATCAGAATTCTATTCTTAAACGATAAACAATTTTTGCCAACGTTTATCACCAAAATATATTTCGAAATTAAAAATGTGTTTCGCGGACAACGTGAGAAAATGCGCGAATAATAATTCCAAATTCTCTTTCTCTTACAAAATTTTATTCTTAATGCTAATATTTCCTACCTGAAAAATATATTTTTCCTCTTTATTCAACCCCCGAATTCAATCAATAATAAATTATCAAAAATTACATAAACAATTCGGCGCTACTTGTAAATGTAAATATTTTTCATCAGTCCAGACGACATATAAATTTTCCAATGTTTCGCCAAAACATCGATTCATATGTTTTTGTTATTGCAGTAATGACTATTATTATCATTGTGACTGTTACTATTATTATTATAATTATTACAATTTCATCCCCGAAACAAGAAGGAAATATCCCAGAAGCATACTTTTAAATGCTAAAGAAAGTTAAGATTAAGTGAAGGTTTGTTAAAAATTTAGGGCTGAGGAAAAGAACACTTTAGCTTATATCAGATATGAACCACAAAGAATATCTCAAAACATAAGGTGCACTGCATCATAGAACAGGGAAAAGAAATAACTCGACCCAAGCGCTCACAAATAAGCTGATCGCACCGTAGATGACGGGAAAAATGACATACCTGTTTCAATTCGACTCGATGCGAAGCCGCATGCTCATTCCAATTCGTAAATTCCGAAAACGGTAATAATGGCGAGAATAAACTCATCGATTAGTAAGGAAAAATCGTTTTGTACCAAAATAAAGAAAAAACGAAAAAAAGAATCAGTTAAATCCAACAAAGTTGATAATAAAGATAGCGAGGAACTTTTGAGCTATCTGGTCCCACCTCTAATCCCTCTAATCCCTTCTACAAGTACCATAGGCCATACAGAGAGTCAGATTACCGAAAGCAAAAAATGATGAGAAAAGGCAAAGGCGTTGACGGTGTCACCAAAAGAAAGCTTCATTAGCTAGGTGGGAGGAGCCCACGAGGTGAAGGCGGAATTCTGGCCTTTTGCCAACTTTTTTCAAATAAATAACAAATCAATGAATCTTGTTTTCTTCTTATTTTTCGATACTCAAAGTCCATGTTTTCTTCACTGCCTTCACAATTTGTGGTGATTGTTGTCACCTCGCCGTGAAAGCAAAGGTGAAATCGGTTTAAATTCGACATATTTGGTGTTCCGTAATGAACGCAAAGGCTTTTTAGTCGCTACAATTTGTTTGCTATATTCAAAACAAATATCGCATTCCTTTAGACATTTAGAATCATTCTGGACTCTTCATTTAAAATTCTCTCACTCTCCAATCCACATTATAATTATAATCATAATCATAATAATTATAATCGAGTCTCTTCTACCTGTGTCAAATAAAGTTCCTAACCAAGGCCGTCATTTTGTGCAAAATGACTATTTTGTACTATTTTCTCCAGGAAACCCACAATTTCCGTTCTGTTAACGATGTGGAGTAAACAGGACAACCGAATGGTTGTCGAACACCACTGCCCCCGTCAGCAGTTATTTCATGAGCAGAAAGTCTAAGCACCACCCCACTTATATTTCTGTACTCATCGTCTTAGACTAGCCAGTGAATCATCATTTTTTAATGATTTTGACGAATATTACCATTTGTTTTTCAGATAAATCAAAAAGAATTAAAATTAATGAATAATAAAGGAAAAAAATTTATTAAAGTAAATTTACAACTGTCCCGATTTATAATATTATTGGCTACAAATTTTGAAGCTTTATTTCAAGAAAATCTATAAGTCCCGAAAAAATCACATTGGCGAAGTGGCTCCAGACAAAAACCGTACAATTATTACCACAATATGAACCTTAAAGAAATGTGAATTAAAAAGTTAAAAAATAAATATGAATAAATAAGGCAAAATTATGGATTTTCCAGCAATTCGGCTATCTCTTCTTCCCATTGAGCATTCGACTTTTCCATCTGATCCGTAACTAATTCGTAATCGTTGAATTCCAACTCCAATTCTTTTTCCCAATCGCCCTCATTTTCTGTTTAAAGGAAAATAAGTTCTTTAAGGAAAACTCGCATACAAGTAATATCAAAATATTAATGGACTGCTTGACTAATTCAATTTAATTTTTAAATTACTTTTAATTTCTCTAAATTAATAATGATGCCTTAATGTGTTATTTTAATTTTTCAAACAAACTTTGATTTTCAACTGATATTGTTTCCTTGATTTCTTCTAGCTGTTGGTTTCCTTCCATAATATTTTCTTTAAAAGGTTCAATATTGCTGCTTTCATATGCAGTTTTATTTTTCACTTTTTCTTCATTATCCGCTTTCACATTTCTTGAGCATATTGGTTCCTCATCAATCATATTATTTTCGCTCAAAATAGATTGACGTACAAGTGAAACGCGGTAAAAATAATTTTTCCAGAAGCGTTCTTCGTTAATTCTACAAAAAGAGCATAGGTAAATAATTTATTAAAAAGCTATCGAATATGATTTAATGATTTTTCATTTGGCATGCATTTCCCAGAGAATTTCCCAGAGAATTATTAATAAGCATACAATTTTGGAACTAGCTGGTATCGAATTTTTCGTAGATTGGAATCTTCTTGCAACATAATAGCAGCAACTCTTTGCATATGAGGGATATTAAAATTCGACTCGGCAGGAGCATCTCGCAGAAAATTTCGATTATCCTAAAGTATTGCGAAAAGTTGAATTTACTTAAGAAATTAAAAAATGAATTTTTTTGTATAAATCTGTGGTGTATTATTAATCTTGATTTATGTAGAACTAACCAAAGATAACGCAAGAATATGTTTCTTCGCAATTAAATTGTCGGGAAGATCTGCCCACGGTACCGTTCCTAATTTAAGTGCATTATTGTCTACTTCGGCACAAAATTTTTCTTGCTCTTTTTCCAAATCTCCGATCACAGTTTTATCCTTCACAAAATTGCGAAAATATTGCACTTTCTCAGCTGCTACTTCTGCTGCCGCTGTTGTTGCTCTCGTTGTAGCTCCTTTTGCGAATACAAAAAAAGAATCTGAAAATAATAATTCGACAAATCACAAATTTAATTTATATTTTTATTTTAATAATGCTAAGCTGAAGCTTAATATATATATATTTTTAAGAGTTTTCACCACCACTGGTAAAATTCGCTCGGCTGTCTTGTCGCATTGGACAAATACGCCAGAGAATCCCTTGGCGATAGAAATACAAGCGAGTCGCCAACATCACCCGGATTTCTGGACAGTTTTACTCCTGCCGGAGAATAGAACCTTAGTACCGGCGCTCCGAACTGAACGACAACCCACTAAGCCATTCTATCCCTCGAGATATATATATATATATGATAAACTTAACTGCTCAAAATTTATAAAGAAAATGAACATGTGAATAAACTTTTTTGATAATATTGTAATTATCACAAATAGAAGATTATTTTTGTTTATCTGGGTGGGAGCAAAATCTATCATTAAAGCGAACTTGGATGGCAGATAAATAAAGACGTGTGCCTCCATTTCTAAATGACTTTGTAGCGAGTTAAGCAAAAGAGAAGCCGTTCAAATGTGAACGCGCATCCTATTCCTAATCCGATGATATATGCAATAAATATCCGAACCTCGAATATAGTACTTATGATATTATAAATAGCTGCGTATATTCTTAAGGTGAGAGACTCTACTTTAGGATAAAAGCAAGTTAACTCTATGAATGATAACTGCCCAGACTCCATCCAAATACCATATATATAAATACATATATGCCGCTTCCTTATCGGAAGTTAATCTACTTAATTCTAGATATACAGAAATAATTTAATTCGGATAAGAACTACTAGCTATATCATAGTGATGTTTTTGCAACTCAAGAAATGGAGTGGCGATTATCGTGCTCGAAAGGACATGAATTGTATGGAATTGTTAATGAGCAGTTAGTCTACGCACATTTTAAAGGCGACTTTTGTTATACCTCGATCATCAGCGTTTATACGCTGTGCACGGATAATTTGATTAAACTTTATACCGAGTTTAACTAGCTAGTAGCGTCCGAAAAAAAGTAATCACAGTCGCAAGAGAAAGTGAGGCACGTATGATATCATTCACTATCTTCTCTGGCCAACAAATATAGCATTAGAATTCAGTGTACCAATGGAGTCTTCTTCCTCATTTTGCTGAGGAAAAAAAGGATTATATATTCACTCATACGAGAGGGGCGAATATTATGTAATTGGAACAATACTGCTTCAAATTCCAAAGAAAGGTGGCTACCACGTTACTAAGACGCATTGCGACTATTAGTTTACCAGCTTACTAGATATTTCTGGAAAGATTTTTGTCTCACTTCAGCTCATAGTTGTGCAGGCGTATCAACCAAACATTCATGCTGAAAAGGGTACCGGAACATTGCTTCGGAATCAACAACCTACCATGCTTCATCGACTTAGTTAATATTTTTGAATTGTGAAAATGGTGTCGCTCTGGCAAGCAAGATTTATTAAAATATTTTATTAATGATTATGTCAGCATAACCAAAGTGCATTAGCTCTCTACTATAGTTTTCAACTATATATAACAATATTAGATCAGATTAAGGACGCCGCTTCCCAGTACTTAAGAAGTCCAAAGCAAACTATTATTAATATAGAATACGTTGATAATTCTATCTTTTTTACTGACAACTGCAACAAAACGATGGATTCGACAAAAAGGTGAAAACTGGCCTCCAAACCAATGTAAATAAGAAACTCTTCGTCTTATAAATCAAATGTTCATAAAGATAGCATTTTATATAAATTTATTGAACCTTTTTTTCAACGAGAATATTGCGAAAGCGAAAGAGAATTGAAAGAGGTAATATACGATACACTATATATTCTGTGAATAATAGTAGAGTACCTCATTATAAGAGGTACAGCAAGGATATCATCCATTTTAAAAAGATGGAAGATAAAGATAAGAAGATCAACCTTTTTTTCGCCCACCTTAAACCGTATACAAGCTTCTAAGAAGCCATTTTTGGTCATTTTGGATTTGAGGAAAGCTGAGAGGAAATGAGGGCGAGGGGAGGGAAAGGAAAGGTCCTCACCTTTTGTTTTTTGTTGCATGGAAAAGACCAAGGGAGATGGATTAGAGAACTGGGGGAGATTGGGTAGTGTCGTCGTCGTCCTTATGCTGGCGCTAGCGGTGCATTCCCCATTCCCCATTAGTTTGACGTGCATATGTCGTGCCAGTTTATTCAAATTTACGATGTTTTTTTTTAAACGGTTTTATTACTGAAGTTTGAGAATTCTTTACACAAATATTCTATATGAATCGTTTCAAAGTGAACTGTAAAGGAAGCACTGCAGATAGATATTCATTTGTCGGAACAAATACGCAAATCAATACTGAAGGAGCGGATTCTTAAGGCAATGGCTGAGGAACTTCATATATATTGGACTAGGAATTTCGTCGAATTCCAATTTTTTCAGTACATCTCCACTTAAACACTATCTGCATTCAAAATATTGTCATAAAACGTCACCTCCTACGATTTGACCATGTTCTTTGTTGCATGGTCTAGGTTTTTCCGAATGACACCTCACTAGATGCTAGGTGCTATAGCCCTGTTATGGAAGGTGTTAAAAATGAGAAAAAATAATGAAGAGTTCACGCAGCGTTGATCACAGCTTCGTGGAACTGAATGTTATGGAAATCGACAATCGTACGATCTCTGCCCACTGCCCAAATATTGGATAGGTATCGTTTGCCTATTGGAAATCTTTCCTTCATTCTCAAACTCAATCAATCACTGTATTTGGCTTAAAACGGAGGCATTAAGTACATCACCATGGCGTTTCGAATATTTAGGGACGAAATATAACGATTATCATGACTGAAAACGGTCGATCAGCTTTAAATGCCTAGAGATCCGTTCACTAGTATATTAGTCTTGCAACATTTCAGGTGGCCGTGACAAAATTTCTTCTTTATCTAAATTTCTAAGTAAAATTTCTGGAATTTCAACTGATAACGATATCTCTCGGAAAAGGCACAATCGACACAATCGATGCAGACTGGAATGCGCAGTAATAACTACCACAGTATGTTTTGTGATTGACGAGTACAACAAAGTCTGGTACAGCGTTTAACTAAGTAAAGATTTAATTCTATCAATACATCCGGTACTGGAAAAGACATTATGTGGATCTCTTAAAGTAACCAACACTGACTCCAGATCAATTATATTCTATATTCTGAAATCGTCGGAGGAGAATTTCCGGGTTAGATTACCATTTATCGCTAATCATTCTTATTGAGATACTAAATTGGTAACCCTGATGGATCAAACCATCTTATGGTTCGAATCAAGATCAGATTGACAATACACAAGGAAACTTTCTTAAAAATTCTGGGATAGCAAGTAAATTTAAAACTGCAAATTTAAAATTTTATATATAAATTTTAAATTTATAAATGAATTAAGAGACTGAATAAATGCTAATGTAGACGCCAATCTTAGAATAACCAAAGAATACTGGTACTAGCTCGTGATAAAAAATTTCCGAAAGCTGGCCAAATCACCACTTGGAAATACCAGATATCAGAAAAGGTATAAAAAACTGGAGTGATGTGGTTTTGAATATGGCTATTACAGTAAAAGATAAAAAAGTACGATAAAAGAATCTGCTCTATCTCCTTTTTTTTGAGAAAATAAGGAAAGTAATGATAATCCACAATAATGATGAGATGTCTGTTGGTATGAACATTCTTAGATAAAGCTGAAATAATCCATGTGACCGCAATCGCACACGATAGATTGGGTTAGGGTTGGCATTCAAGAGATGTACAAATCCAGAATAGTATCGCTGCCAGTGAATACTGAATGCGCTGATAATTTATATACATCAGCAATTGAGGATACGTCATGTTTTAAAATCTTTAAAATCTTAAAATATCTTAGAACTGCTCTTGTGCGAAAGATAAAATTCAACCTGGACAGATAAGAATGCCTTCTTCCGTCTGCCGAAATCTTTAACGCCGAGAAATCATCAGTAAAACAAAAGACCTATCGCTTCTACCTGATTCAACTACATTATTCTATTATATGGATGGCAGAGGGCGGAAGAAATATTTTTGCATTCTCTCCTACTCTAGTGTTCTTAGTGTCAATTCAGTGGCACCATTATCATTACCATTATTATTATCCACTATTCGCTCGCATCTGCTACTTTATAATCACTTCAGTCAAATCACTTTCCTAATTTCTTTATGTTTAACACAATAAGTAAGAGAATGAAATTAAGCAAGAAATATTAAATTTATGAAAATTTTTGATAGAAAAGGCAATAATATAAATGCAAAAATAAATGCAGAAATGAATTTTAAATAGTGTATTTAAAAAAAAGAGCTATGAAATATTTCACCCGCTACCGCAACCTGAAATAATTTTTCACACTATATTTCACTAATAATTCTCTCGAATCTGAAATTTCCTTTCATCGAAGTTTCATTCTTTCCTTTTAAAATTCATTTATTATTTTCCTTTACATTCTATTGCTACAAAGAAAACTATGGACTTTCTTCGCAACCAACTCAACGAATATGGTCATCCAATCAAAACTTCGCTTACTTGCCACTTGCTTCACATTACCAACAGTAATCGAATGGATATCTTCAACTGGTGATGTTTCGTTATTTTCGTTTGTTCCATTTATTTTTTTACTTTCAATCATTTCTTCTACGATATCAGATTTCTTCTCTAAATCTTCGGCTGGAACGTACATTATATCGGAAATCAGTTTCTTAACCAATCTCGCTCGTTGCTTTATTACATCCATTGCCATATATAAAATTAATAAACTGAAAAAAATTGGTCATCTCTGATTCACACCATTACCATTAAGCCTAAACCTCTTCAGACCAAATCAGACCAAATATGAACGCTGGAAAAATGACCTAATTACATGGATTTATTAAAATTTGTCAGCAGTCAAACTAACTTGTATTTATCATAGTCAGTATCTTCATCATGATTATCATCGCAAAAATGATGATCAAAACGTAAAAAATTTTAGATTCGATTATATTCGATTATTAGATATATTGTATTTATTATACCCGTCGAGCAAATAAAATAACATAATCGCATTCACCTTTGTTCAGGTACCACCTGCATTAATGTTATCACAGAGATTCGCTTTCGCTGGTTAGAGCACGTTCCCCATCGACCACCACAGGAGTTAACGCATATTTCATTACTTGCTAAACCATATGATGGGTGGGATGGGTGGCATTAAAAGCGAGGTGAGCCAATCAAGACCTGGACTGACACGGTCAGGAAAGACTTTGAAAGTATTGGCAAGCCAGCAATATATGGACTTCTTTTATTGTCGACGACGGCATTAGACCGCGACGTTTGGAAATATCTTACCTTTGTAGCCAGTGGAGCCAGCCTAACCAGTAACGATGAGAGCAGATTTAGAAGAAGATATATTAGATTCTATTACAGAAATGATTACCAGCTATAATAGCAATCAATTTATGTTGTAATGTTGTTGGAATTCACAAGGAAAAGTCCTTTTAGATAATCAAGATCAGTTCCAATGGACTGATATTAATATTCACACTGTATGAATAAAGTTTTTATTAAACTGCACATAAAAATATAAATGTTTTCCAACCTCTTAGTTACACCAACTTTTAATTTCTTGGAAAAAGAAGACTAATCTAAAAGCTGACGAATCATTCTGGTAGTACATATAGACAGACTAGAACACTATAGAACATCAGTGAATAAATGATCATCGTCTAATTTCTGCTTTACATTTATAGGTAAAAAAAAACAAAAGCAACAATAAAACTCGTCGTAAGATAATATAATTAATGGTTCGTCTAGCATAACCAATGCACGAACAAAGCATTTTAAAGAACACATACGGGAAAAACCAGCTGTTCTCTACAATCCAAAACTAATCCCAAATTATCGGGTAAATGCAAAGAGAAATTCTAAAAGAAATTCAAAGAATTCGCATTATCTAAGGATCATTATATCCTAAACAATTATTTCAACAAAAAAAACAATTCATTTACTGAAATAATAAAAGATGTACATGGATACCAACCAACATTATAAAATAAAAAATAAATAAAAAGCAGCAAACTTTGATGACTGATCTAGTTAACTTCTGAAACAAATGAATAACCTCCGACGATGAGATTCATTTCAATCCCGTTTAAAAAAAAATTTCCAGGAATATTATCTGTCGGCCTGGAATTGAACCTGGGCTGCTCGTGTGATATTTTCTCATTTTAATGGAAATATCAAAAATAGCTTTATTGAAATTTTTGCAAGACCCACCCTTTACACACCTTTCCTCTGTTTCGATGAATTTCAGTAACTCATAAACCCGATTCCAGAATATTAAAACGTAAAAAAAAAATTAAAATGATACTTAGATGGTACAATCAACTGAGATCAAGCTTCCCAGTGACGCCTAAGATTGATCTGTAATCTTTTATCTCCTCTCTCCCAAGTTAACCAATGCTGAAAAGCTCAATGATTAAATTAAAACTGAAAAGGATTAAAATGTATTGATAAAAATTGAGCAATGCCCCCTATAAAATACAGAAGTAAATAAAGTATGATAATGACACAAAGAGAGGAAACTAAAAATAACCAGTGCCATAACATCCTCTATAAGTTCCCCTCATTAAAAAAATCTTTTAAAGCCAATAACTTTATATTTACATAGAAATATCAAAGACTGTAAATTTTGTAGCGGCAAATTTTTAAACAGACAAAAATTACAGTATGTGTGTATATTGCAATGTAAGGATACATCTATGCAAAATCAAAATTAATTGATCCAAAATGTTTTAAACAAGAGGAAAGTAAAAAATGCATGGCAGTGATTCGAAGACATCATAAATATATAAAGTGAGCACTATGCTTTAAATACAAACATAATTGCAGTGGTGATAAATATTGCTGTTAAAAACGAATGAGGTCGCCATCTGTACGATCATTCTCCAACAATTTTAAATTCTCTATCCCTTCTGAAACAATTTCCTTCGGAAAACCAATTAAAGTCTCAAAAAATTTCAACCTCTGCAAATCTTCAGTACGTTCACCTTGGTCGCTTTTGAATGCAATGTCAGCCATAACTTGCAGTTGTGCTGAAAAATTATGTACAATTTCGAAACAAGAAGTTATTATTTTGCTACATGCAAAAAAAAAATACAAATGGCTAAAAAAAACATACATAAAGCATCAGCGTTTGCAGTAATAAGATCACGGGTAAAATCTATATAACATTCAAGAATACTGCGATTTTCTATCGGAAACTTCTCAACGCAAGCCCAACACCGTGGACCATTACCGCGTACGCGAAGACAATCAACCTGCATCGAAAACGGTATCATCGGATCTAAAAGAAATTATTCTATCAAGAACGGCATACATGAATTTAAAATAGGAGAATTCTTTGAAAAACTAAACTACAGTAAAATAAAAGATAAATATAAAAGAACCATTTGTAACTACTACCAACTGCATCTAACTTTAACATAACAAAAATTTAGTAATTATTTCGTAAACCACACATTTAAAATATATAAACGATAACTATTTCTTTAAATTCTTTAAATTAAGTACTTAAAACAGTGGTGATTACTTAAAACATAAAACATAAAAATATAGACGTCTTGTAATGCTTTTATTTCTTTATTCAAAATACAAATAAACCTTTAAATGAATCAAGCAATCTTAAAAATGTGTTGAACATATTGAAAGGTGATTTACAAACGCTACCTGCAATATAAATTTTTTATCAACTTCAAGCAAACAAATAATCAGAACCAGAACCAAAAAAAAAAAATTTCGATCCTTATTTACGATATTGATCAAATAGGAACAAATCATTTGCATTATAAAAATCATTTCCCACATTTAAAATATATTAACGATTAATATTTCTTTAAATGAAGTACATAAAACGAAAATGAAATATAGACGTCTTATAATGTTTTTATATACACAATCGGTGATAATTTTCTAAATTTTTAGTATTCAACACATAAAAAAAACAACTATAAAAATAAAACGATTAAATTGAATGAAAAATACTGAGATCTGAAGGAATTCCCGTATCAAGTGCCTTTCGCAAGGCAATGAATTCCGAATGCTTTGAAATATCGTCAAAATGAATATTATTTAGACCAAATTTGCGAAGTTGTTCAATAAGTCTATACATAGCTGAATATATGGATGTTGTTGGAGATGAGGAAATGATAGATCGCTCAGAATCCTTGAAATTTATTAAAGCATATTCCAAAAGGTTTTTTTGGAAAAAATTTTGAAAAATTAAATGCACAACCAGGTCAACTTACCACATTAACAAGCTGTGAGAAATGAATACCACTATGAACAATATCAGAAAATGAAGAACCGAACACACTCTTCTGATATACTGCAGTCACAGGAATGAAATAATCTCTACCGTGATCCAAACGCAGAACAAGTATATCCGATAATTGATCATTTTCTTTTTCTTGCACTGTCCATGCTACCCTTTTATCCACTAACACCTTCAAATTTTGCAAAGTAAGTAAATCAATTTATAAAAAGTTTGAAAAAAAATCGAACATTAAAAACATATCATAAGAATTATAAAGGATAAAATCGGAAACCTGAAGACTGAGAGAACATGCAGCTCCAAGCTTGAGAAGAGAATTAGGTGGTGTTACAGATAACCAAGAAGCGCTAATGTTGGACTGATTGGGTTGCGGTATGAATGAAAATGCCACTTTCGTTTTACCGACATTTCTAATCGTGATATTCCGCACAGAACTCTCGAAGAAATAAACATCACCAAAATTCACCTGCCGTATGAAAATTTTTTCTAGGAGGGCTATAAATGGTGAAGAATGATAACTGTAAACGTATAAATAGGAAAATGGAGAAAAATAAATGTGATTTGAAATCTTTAAGGACCAGATGAATTAAACAAAAACTGATTTACATTTAGAACATAGTATTTAACCTAGATAATCTAGAATGCGCGAAATTCGTGATCTTTTTAAATCTGAATAATATTAAAGATGATGGATTGAAGAAATGCAAAGATATGCAAACCTATTTACAAGTCTAAACTTATAGATAAGATAAAGTTAAGAAAATTTTTGCATTCTTAGCATTAATTCTGAAATAAATTATCTATTGATGCAAATTTGCACCACCAGTTTTAAAAATAAATTAAATCGAATTATTCACAAATATTATTTTGTGAAATTCTTCATCTTAATTCTTCGGTTCTTTATTCATCTTCTTCAGCATCTTAACTGGTATAATAGTTTCAGTTTTTCTTTGCTTCTGATTTCTAATTAATTCCTTCCCATGTATTTTTTCACTCATATTTTTATTATCCATAAAAAACGTGGCTGTTTGCTTCACTTGCACTGTTCTTTAGATAAAATTAAAAAATATAAATTTCACAAACTTCTTGGTCCGAAATCCAAATCTGAGGCAGTGCCTCATTTAAACGCTTGTCTGCTTCACGTATAGCATCTTCATAAATAGCCTTGATTTTTGATTTATCAATTTCTCGCACTGTGACGTTAAAAAGAGCTCTTACTGGTTTGTGATCTGATAAAGTAATTTCATTAACACTATCATAAAAAATTTGTACCACTTGATCTCCTGATTCACACCACCACAAAATACGATCACACCAAGCTGGACATCGCATTTTATCACTAAAAGAAGCACATAAATGCAGTGAATTTGAAGAATTTTGTATTTTTGAAATACTTTTTGAAAATAGCTAACTCAATTCTCAACAGATTAATTAATTTAATAAACCTGCTATCCCAATTCGAAGTTCCAGGATCATATTTGTAAGACGGCCGAAAATTTAGTTGGTCTGGCTCATTAAATTCCGTAAATACTAGGCCCAGTTTTTGCTGCTGCTTCAACTAAAACTTGCAACTTTCATTTAAAACCTCAGATAAACAAGAAAAATGAGGTGACAAAATTTTAAAAATGTTAGAAATTAGAGGAAAACTGAGAAACTGAGAAATAAAAATTAACCGTATCAAAAATCATTAAACTCTTGTAATTTTTTCCTTTTGAACATAGTTCTCGAATATCTTCATTACTTAGAATATTCTCCGTATTTAGACGATAATTCAGATCACCAAACCAAAATATAATATCATGATCGAACAACGATTTATTGATTCCATTGAAACGAATTTGAGAAATCTCTCTACAATTTTGTAATTTTAAATAAAAATATATAATAAAGGGAAATAGAACAAGTTGTAATAAATAAACCTGTAATCTTGATTACGCTTATCTAATTCATCAGAGCCTGCGGCAAAATGTGCATTCACAAAACACAGAAATGAATCATTCAATTTCAAACTGACCGCGATTCCTCCCTTAAATGATTGAAATTTTGCAATAAATAACTGGAAAGCAAAAAATCAATTTCTTTATAATTTTTGGAAAAATTTTGGTCTAAAGATAGTCGCAATATGGACATTTAAAAGTTTGGCTCCATTTAATTAATAATAATCATTATTAAATATCAAAGAATAAGTCTAACCTTATTACCCATACGACTAATTAACTGGATTCCCGTAGCTATTCGAGCTGAATGAATGCTGTCAGGAGGAATCCGAAATGGACTATCAGAACGCTTAAATATAACCAAGAGAATTCCAACTAAACGCACTGCTTCCACCTAAAACCGTTTTTTTACTAACTATGCTAAATATAAACCAAATACCTTATTTGATCTGTGAGTGGTCATGCGGAAAAGATTCTCTGCTCTCATTAATCGGTACCAGATGTGTTTTTTTTTTTTTTTTTAAAGTCGTCTCGTCTTTCATTTTCTTATATTCTTATATTCCCCTAACTTTTGATTTTTTTTTGTCTTTGACAGCAGTAAACCGGTCATAATATCAAGAATCAGTGTGGTTACTGGGGAACCCACTCTCTCCCCCAACCCTATCCCCCCCCCCCGCCACGTCCTCTGACATGCAAGACGTACTTCCAGTCCATGCGATATAGTACATGCGATAAGTATATAATACGAGCGCAATAAAACCTCGAAGCTTCAGAATAAATGTGGTCGAAAGCCAGAGTAATTACTCATAATTTGTCAAGGAAAATGAGACCATCCGTTAGCACTTTGTATGCCTGACGACGTATTGTTGACCATAGTTACTTGGAACACACTTATGGACGTTGCAAGTCAAGTCATCACGCCCACACCCTTTCTAAATACTGCGTGGATGTGACCTGTTTGTAAATCCGTTCTCACGTCAGGATAGAGTAATTATTATTAAACATGGCTCTGAGCAGAGGTATTGTCTATACCAATGTGGTGTTTCGGATAACTCAAGGTGAAATGGCGTAGCAACCGTCATATCTGAAAAACCTTGGTCTCTGACTGATGGAAGCCAGTAAAATACCGTATGGCCTATGAGCCCTTCAAAAGAAAGAAAATTCGGTCATCTATGTATATAGTCCAACTTTATACAAAGATGAAGATACGTTTTATGCGGAACTTCATTAACACATCTATACCAAGAGATAACATGATTATAATCGGAGAAGAATGGAATAAGCACATTGGACACGATACTATCAAGATGAACTCAGTAACTGGCAAATACGGTAGGGGTCCAGTGCGCCAATAGAGCGCCTCCTTCACTTTTTCGAACAGCACAAACTCTTTGCTGCTATATATATACATGCTTTTAGTTATTAGCTTATTTAGTTATTAGCCTTTAGTTGCTAATTTCTAGTTATTAGCTTCAGTGGAACTCCTCGAATAAACAACAACCAGTTTTTCAGAACAGATAATATTTTCTTTTTTAATCAGTCTCCATTGGAAGAATTTTGTACTAGATAGTTGTTCGTATCGTGGTGCTGAAATGGGTGATGCAATCTGTTCATGGATAGGACCATCTTGGTTCAAATCAAGATTCATATAAAACTGACAACTCGTAAGAAACAATGCATTATCTTCAACCAATTCAAACTAAAAGATTCGAGAAAAATAAGATCATTTCAAACACTTCAATGAAAGGAATCTCTGGAACGGCGAATGAATACTGGTCCTAACTAAACACATGCTTACAAAAGTCAGCCACTTGCATACTAGGGTATAGTAAGCGCTAGTTGGATGTCGGAAGCAACTGTTAAATTGTCTAAGGCCAATAAAATTCTCGGAGAAGATGGCCTTCGTGTCGAACTCTTCAAGCATCTATCGTATTTTGTATCGGACCTTCAAAAAATGCATTCCCTGGTATGGCAGAAGGAAATAATATCAGAAGACTGGAGAAAAGCAATTCTGCTTCCAATTACCAAGAAAGGTGACAGGAAGTACTCCGACAATTATGAGGAATCAGCCTACTAGACATCTCCGGAAAAATTTTTTTCTTTCCTCCTGCTAAAAAGATTCATAGCAACACGAGATAGCAGAATGCGTCCTAACAAAGCTAAATTCAGACCGGAAAGCGGCTAAGCTGATTAGATATTCACGCTAAAAAGGATTCTAGAACATCGTTTTGAATATTAGCAACTACTTGCAGCGAAAATCGGACTTATGAACAATGTAAATAAAATGAAAGTCTTTTCGTCTTATATACAAGAAGCTGATAAAATTTTTATTAATTCATTGCTCGTTGAGGAAGTGCTCGCCTTTAAATATCTTGCACCAAGTCTGGTTCCAAATAGCCAGGCAAAACAAACTATACTCCGAATGGTATCTAGAAATGTGTTCCTCCGGTTGACTTTATGGAGCCGTCTTGAAATCTCCTTAAATACGAATGCAAGCATCTATATTAGCTGCAAATCGTTCGATATTGCTATACGTCTGCGCGACATGGGCATTGAGAGTGGAAAATATTAAGAAGCTATCTGCTTTTGACCACTCATATTTAAGATTCATTTTACGAGCCGATAAAGTCTCACATGATTGGATCCACCTTGGCTCAAATACTATCTACATTAATAGTAATACTACCATCACAGAGTGCTTCCTTCGCTGGTAAGGGCATATTTTTCGTCGTCCAGGAGCTGTCACATATTTCGCTACTTGCTAAATCATAGGTAGCGTCAAAAGCGATTCAAGGGACCAATCAAAATCTGAATTCTAAGCGATGGCATCGGACCAAACAGCTTGTCCAGCCTAACCAATAATGGTGGGAGACGTTAGAAAAATGAAGTATCAAAATAAGATCCTGGTTGCACTCTCGTAAATTTAAGCAGTTCATTTAGAACTTAGAACGTAAATTTCACAATTAAAGTTTATTTTTTTACAATTATTTCATCTCTTTCCTCTAACAGCTCACAACATAATTGATTATACTGGCTGTGTTATCAGTCATTTCGAATCCGTTTGATACTACATTTGCTATACTTGTAAGAGAATCAACTTTTCTCACCGTTTAAGCGCATATACCACTGGGCTCAAAATCTTTTTTTCCTCAAATCTCGATTGGTTCTCCACACTTGTGATGGCATTCCTCATAAGGCACAAATAGCGAGAAGCGTCAATTCCTGCGAAACAACGTTGGCTATTCAACATAAGCGATATGCACTATGGTATTCGAACGAAAGCAGATGCAATTGCGAGATTTTGTTCTCTCGGCACGCAAAATTATCTTAAAAATGAATGATCAAAGACCGATAAACTGCTTCTTGATATTTTTCACTCTGTGGTTATGCTTCGCAACATATAGATAAGATTTTTTAAATTAGACAGATGCTAATTTTCGCTATAATAGTAATTATGCGGCGACATCCCTAGCTGCGGCTATCCCCGCTGGAATTTAGTTCTTCGCTTGGCATTTGATACAAGAGTGGATTCTAAGTATCAAAAATTCCTGATCTATTTTTTCAGTAGTTTACTTGTTTAACGAACTATCAACAGCCTTAGGCACCGCAAATGAATCACTAAAGGAAATGATGGAGGAAATCCCTGGAGTTATAAATTGCTTGGTGCAAAAGCTTGTTTTTACTTGCATAGAATCATTTGCATGCATGGGAAAAAAAAACTAAATAAATGGGATAACCATGAAAAGACTACATATGAGGACAGGTCTGGAGATCTATTGTTTGCAAATAAAATATAAAAATAACCTTTTCCTGGAATGAACTTTTTATTTACGAGAAAAAAAATTAGAATCAATAGAATATAAAAAAACAGTGATCGGCGCAGTGATTACAAGAATCTCCTCGATATATGCCAAAATTTCACCCGAAGACCATTGTTTAGTAGCTTGTTGCAAGATTGAACCATTATAGCTTCTTAAAAACTGGAGCAGTAATTGGGAAAAGGTCGTATCTTTCTCTTCTAACAGCTCTCACCATTACTGGTTAGGCTGACTTCAATGGCTATAAGGAAAAGACGCTTCCAAGCCCAGCTATCTGATGCCATCGTCGACAGTAATAGAATCCATTCCTTTTTCCATCGCCCAAGTCCATATATTGCTGCTCCACCTATACGTTCAAAATCTTTTCTTACTGTATCAGTCCAGGTCTTGATTGGTCCACCTCGCTTTTGACGCCATCCATCACATGGTTTAGCAAGTAACGAAATATGTGTTAATTCCTGTGGTATACGACGCAGAATGAGCCCTAAACAGAGAAGGCGAACGCTCTATGATAACATTAATGCAAATAGTTTTTGAACGAAGCTGGATGAGATTATGTAATATTTTATCCGCCCGACGGACTCGTAAAATATACCTTAGACAAGAACTAAGGTAGATAGCTTCTTAATATCCTCCACTCTCATTGGCCATGTCTCAGAACTATATAGCAAGATCGAACGAATCACGGCTATATAGATGCGAACTTTCATTTTAATGGTAATTTCACGACGATTCCATAAAGGTTTCGTCAACCGAAAGAATGTATTTCTAGCTACCGTGATCCGGGTTCTAATATTTTTTGCCTGGCCATTTGGTATTAGAGTGGACCCAAGGTATTTAAAATCGGGCACTTCATCAATCGGCAATGAATTTATAAAAAGAGGCATTTTATCAACTTCTTACACATAAGACAAAAAGACTTCCATTTTATTTACATTGATTTATTTACATTGATCCTGACACATCATCACTTGCACTTCATCATAACTGTTAGTAAAAAGGAATACATCATCAGCACATTCAAGATCTGTGATACCATACTCTGGATTGATTTGGAAATCCCTTGAGTGCTGACAAACGGAATCCATTGTCGAGTCTATCGCACAACAGTTTCTTTTTCTGTTGGATGCTAGCAATTGCAAACGTATGCTTCGGCAAACTATCGGCTATATCAGGGGCAACAAATGGCGCTTCATGGTTAAGTTTGGCCTCAAAGAATTCTTTCCATCTTATGAGGCGATCCTTAATACTTTTGATTACGCCATAGTTGTCTCTTACCATTTCACTGATCGTTCCCCGAGTCATAATTGCTTTATGAAGAAGGCAGAATAATTTCCTATTATCGCCTATCGAGCCGCCGCCTCCATTCTTGAGGCCATGTCACTCCAATAGTGATTTCTGTCCCGGCTTGCTGCTTTCGTTGCAAATCTTCGAAGCAGTCAGGATCACTTGACATTCGTGCTTTGGACAGTTGTTTCCGATACCCAGTAAGCACATTTCCTACTAGTATGCCCTAGTGGCTGATTTTCGGATACATTCCTTTAGTTTGGACCAGTATTCATCTGCCGTTCCAGCAAAATCATTGATATTTGTATCATTGAGATGCTTCAATAATTCGGTTTGAAATGCGCTCATTATCCCCGAA